TATTTAACCAATCATACAAAGTTCCTGTGTGTAAACTAATGTTCATGCTTTTACACCATTTTGATGCAGTCAGATGAAGCTAAAGCAAACTATCAGCTACTCTCAGATTAATTAGTGCCAATTTAGAAGAGACATTTTTTTTGGGGGGGGGGTTTAGAAGGGGCATTTTGCAAACACAAGTGTTGTAAAACAACAGGTGGAAACTGTTAAAGCTAACATGCAATCTTAATTCTTGTTTTTTGTAATTCATACCATTTTAATATTGAACAATGTATCACGCATTGCATATTTTTCTCACATCTTGCAGGCCTAGACCATTCTCTGTGTACTACAAATGGAAATGAGACCACATTCAATAACAAAATCTGGTCCAGCACTCACAGATTCTGCATAAAAATACTGAATCTGTGGAAAGAGATTAATCATGTTTTGACTTTGGAAGCAACCAAGGACCAAAACCAGATTCTGTCCCAATTGCCGGGAGGGGTAGCAAGTGGCACAAAACTCCTGAGCCTGGCTTTACTCTGCCATATTCACTGATAGATATCCCTTGAACATATTTTATATCCTATTACATCTCCTACACACTGACCACACATACATTTGATGCCAAGGGTTGATTTACAGCAGTTTTTACATTTTAAATTGAAAACTGCTCTAAAATCTCATATAAAGACCACAGTTGAAGCCAATTTGAAAGACCTAAAGCAAGTGACACTGAAGTAATAGTGTGCCATCACTTGTCAACCCTCTGCCAGTATGAAGACCAGCGTTTGTCTGTGGGTTTTGATATCTGTCTACCTGTGAGGGCCGGCAGCTTATCTCACAGAAGCAGAGGCAGGCTTCCTATAATACAGAGAAAGGGAGACAGAGGAAGACAGAGAGAGAGAGAGAGAGAGAGAGAGAGAGAGAGAGAGAGAGGGATGAATGAAACCATTAGAATTGACACTATCCACACTGCAATCAGTGCCAAATAGTACCCACAATCCCCCACTCAATCAGATATATCCCATCTCACAACATTGGCTGGCACTGACAGAGCAGTATGATATAGAGCTGCCTTTGAAATGACAGCTCAACTACGGGGAAAGTTCAGAAAGATCTCCAACTTTGATATTCTTCATTTCTGACGCTAATACAGAGGGAAACTGTGTCAATAGGCGAGTATTCCACTTGCAGAACTTAATTTCACAGCTAAGTTTGCGCTCACTTGTTTGCGTTTGAAGAGAGTGTTGTTTAATTCCGCATCTAAACGAGAGCAGAGGGATGGGATCTCTCTGAAATCATAAACTATTCATAAACTCTGCATATCAGATGCATAACAAAACCGTTTCCTGCAGTACAGGAGTTAATAAAAGATCAATACTAGTGTCTGTGAGAGCCATACGTGAGAGCATGCAAAGAATCCCGGTGTGGTCTCAAATGTTGGTGGCAGAGGTCACAAAGGACTGTTTGTTTGTGTGCATGCTTGATCGTTTTAAGTGTCATTGCTGGCAGACTAATCTCTCCTGTTCTCACTGAAACTCTGAGCAGAAACACTGATGTTCAGCCTGCATCCACTCCAGCCTCGGGGTGGGTATTAAAAATTAAACATCCATGTTGTTCGGCTCCTCCTCCAACACTGCTGCAGATACACATCGCTGCGTTTAACAGCTCCGTTAATCTTATGTCATGATTCAGTCTGAAACACGATTTGTGAAATGTCCATTTTTCAAAAAGTCTCCAGAGCTTGACAACAAACAATCAACCCAGGGCATTTAAAATGATATGATTATTCAGAACACAGCCGTCTGAAAACAATAAGTGCAGCCAATATAACATTTTATTGCCAATATTATAGACTGTTCGGTTTTTAGTGAAGTTAGTAAATGACATTACAAAAGATTACAGCCCTTATTAGAATCACACTGATAACTCTTTCTTTTCATTTATGGAATAAAAGACCCAAAATTCGCTTGAGGAGAGAAAATTTGGCGGACCAAGACATTTCTATTGTTAACTTAGAATGAATCCCTCTGTGTAGATTTTTCTGGTGTGGCGAGTGTTGAAAAGGAGCATGACTAAAGTTTAAACGACCACATTAAAAATCCTGATTTTGCTATTTGTTACAAAGCTGTCTCAAATATCACCACAGACACAGTTCAAACTTAGGATGTAGGTTGGAGAGTTGATTAAATAAAAGTAATTTAATAACACTCCAAGCTTCAATGTTTTAATACAAACTGAGGGGTTGGATGACTATCTGTATTTGCATGTTCCAAATCAAATTGTGTTTCATTTGAAACTTTAATCATTGAACACATATTTCCTGGGATGCCTTGTACTGTAGTGGAGATTCTAGAGTCTGAGGGGTCCCCGTAGGCAAAAATCAATTTGGGGGCCCTCCAAAGAGCTTTCATCAGCATTATGTCTGCCAGTGTCCCGACTTGTACTCCTCTTCCTCTTTTTTCCTCTTTTTTTCCTCTCCTATAGACGGATAATTCATTTTTTAATTTTTATTTTGTTGACTTTCATTGACAAATTTTGATTTCCACGGCAATAATGCATTCATCGCTTAGCAGGGCAACAAGAGTGAGTGCTGTCTAATGGGGCCCTCTTAGGGAGTTTTCCTACTGTCATTGTCATTGTAAAATTTGCCATTTGTCAGTGCAAAATTTGCACATTTTGGGCCATTGCTTTGGTTTAATTTTAATTTTTTTTTTTTTTTTTTACCATAGCAACTTAATCTTTATACATATGATGGCTGTTTTTGATTCATGTGTTCATCAGACTACACATAAAAGCTGTGATCCCCACCTGTCATACAAACATTTACTGTGCTGGATTCACAGACGTAACACTGGAGAGCTTTTTCATACAGAGTTTCATACATTTTCATACCAATTTCATTTGGAGATGGAATGGTCTGCACATTTAGAAACAATGCATATAAAAAAAATCCATAACAATAATCCAAAACAAATAGGACAGAAATCTACCACTATTAGAAACAATATTCTGCAGAAGGCCGAAATAAATGCATCAGCAACAAAATCAATAACACATTTTTGTTGTTGTAGCACCCTTGTGGGCCACCGTAGTTATAAATGTAGTACCCTTAATAGAGCTAATCTGTTGAGGCAGCATCACTTCTTCTTCTTCAAACATTCAGTATCATAAATGAGATAGTGCCTTTATGTACATTTTGATTAAGACGTGAGAGGTTTCAGTGTAAACATATAGTGTTATGGTGGAGTCACCTCACAGTGAGGGATAGACCTCTAAACATACACCCACTTCTCTCTCAGTATACAGTATTTGTGATTTGTCAGGGGATAAAAAACTGAAATCAGAATGTGTTACTAACAGGTTTGGCAGACAAACATGTTGAAGAGGATAAGATAAAATGTGAATCAGCAACAAAAACACAAGTCACGACTTGTGGGCCCAGCAGTGAAGAAACGATGTAGTGATGGAGATGCGAGGGGTTTGCCTGGGCTAAATAAATAATCTGTGTGCTACAGAATAGCAAGAGTGTGGGAGGAGGTCTGCAGGGGGCATGGAAACTGTGATTAGTAAAGCGGATCCACTTATAGAAAATCCACCATCATTATTCCTCTAGACTTCTGTGATAAATGATCCATGTGCTGTTGTGTTCCCATGTTACTACATCTCTCAAATCTAATTATTTAACAGAGGATGCTGCATGTCCCAGAGCACCATTATGCCTTAGATTAGCATCTTTTAAATATGGACGTCATAGAAAGAACACTTTGAAAATAAAACATGCTTTATAAAATATGTATGAGCATACTCTATAAGGCTAGTCGTATCTCCATGTAGATTTTATCTCACTTTGAAGTGCAAATTTACTGGTACAGAAGGAATGTAGACAGTGAAATCAAGCAGTTCTAAGACAATTTTTTAGACTTTTTTAACTTGTATTATGAAGTTTTATTGTTTTAAATGCAATACAAAGACTTGGAGACAGATAAGATAAGGATGACTAAATCTTGTTTTTGCCTTTATAGACCTTTATATCGACATGGCTGGATATGTTGAGGTGGTATATATAACAGACTGAAATGAATATTAATGCCTCTTTGTGATCAACAAAAGCATAGGCTAAGACCATGAGCCAGGAGATTTATTCATTCTAGTTATTTTTTAATGATTGTAACTTCTGCCACAGGCTTGGTGATATAAAAAGTATGCCTGCCTACATAGGCACTTTTCTGCATTTTAAATCAAAAAGAATCAGAGACACTAAGTTTGACTTTGTTTTTTCAAAAGAGACTAATACTCACATAAGTACAGGGCATGATTGGTGAAGAGAGAAGTGTTGCCAAGATTGACACAAAACTCTTTAAAGGCCGCAGTAGTAACAACTTTTGGCAGACAGAGAAAGAATAAGGTCTTTTGTTCCTGTACTCTTTTACCTGAGCTGTATAAAGGAAATTAGTACGAGTATTTCACCCTCTTGCTCTCTTCTTTCTCACATCACTGTTACATCAGTCTACAGCAGGCCTGTATCCCATTCATGTAGCGTGTAGCAGCAGGGAGTCAGGAAGACGAGAGCATACAGGGGAGCTGGACTCCTTTAATGAGCTGCCTTTGTAGGAGCAGTCTCTTTTTTTTCTAACAACCTGCTGTTCACATCCTAACGACCAATTATAGTCTGATGGGACTGTTCTTACATTCCACTACAAAAAAAAAAACAGTGAGAATATGGAATAGATGTTTCAACCCTTGAAGAGAAGTGTACAATATTGCAGGAGAGAGGAATTACATCAACAATGATTAACGTGTAGAGTAAATTGGCACAATTGGCAGGCACTAATCAGTACATTCTCTATCAACCCTGAGGAGGATGGGGAGGATTTCTCCAAGGTGCTGAAAAGTGTCCCCGTGCTCATCCGGGGGAGGGCAAAAAAAAAACAAACCCCGGAACACACCCGCCTGAGCCCATTGGTACAACGTCACGCGCAGAAAGTACCCGAGCGAGTAAGGTAAATGAATTAGAGAGGAGAGGAGGAGGAGGATGAAGAGGAGAGAGAGAGAGAGAGATAGAAAGCTGAGGATGCAGCTTTGGTCCACAACACACATCCTCATCACTCGAACAAGACAGCAAGAGCTACTATAGCCTGGATAAAAAGCTACAACTTCCAGGGATCGACGAGGAGATGTGTCCGCAAAATCTTTGATTCGACCCCTTTACATCCTCCTCCTCCTCTTCTTCTTCCTCCTCCTCCTCCTCCTCCTCCTCCCACCTCTACCGAGGAGCATCCCGCACACAGAGTCCACTCCGACGGGAAGGCAGGCAGAAAGGCAGGGGGGGATTGAAACAAGCCAGACACGATGAGTGGATCTCCTCGACATGGGACAGCTGTGGGATTATTAGTGCTGCTGAACGCGCTGCGGTTGCTGCTCGCGACGCAGGCTGCAGAAGGAGTGTTAACGGACCATGTTCTGGTTGAGCTGCACGAGGACGCACAGGACGAGGCGCACCAACTCGCAACACAACATGGGTTCCAGAGCGCCCGAAAGGTAAGGATGCTCAGAGGGAAAACAGTCACGCAATGTTCACTTTAGACCATGTTTTTTTTTTTTCTTCTTCTTCTTTTCTCGCGAGGAGCTCAAACTTCGATGCACGAAATCCTTCTTTTTTTCAATCCAGTTATTGATGTTCCAAAAATTATAATCATACCTTGGCAGGCTGGCAGCGTTTATATTCTGTGTGGCTATCGCAAATAGTCACACATAATTCGCAATCCAGTTTAAAAGGTGTTTCTCCAAATTTCCATTTAGTTACACTGTGTTATCGTTTGGTTTCATTTGATGACGTCATCCCACTTTAATGTAGGCCCTCGTTAAGTAGGCTGCCCACTGGACCGTGGCCTCTGTGAATTCAAAGGTGCCCAGAAGTTAATTCAATTAATTTGTGCTTCCAATTTCTCTTCCTATGAACAAAAAAAACAACAACACGCTGAGCATTTATTTTAGGTGAAATCGACCTTTAAAAAAAAAAAAGGCAAACCCATTAAATCAGCAGGGGTTTCTCTCACAACATGAAGTTGTGCTGTGATATCATCCTTGAGAATCTAATGGATTCCATCTTGGCATAATGTTTATTAGCTAAATTACACTTTTGCATGAGGAGAATATTTTTATTGTGGTTGAATTGTCTCCTGTACCTACTTTGTGAAAAGCAGTTTCCCTTCTTAAAATGGCTTTTTCTTCAAAAAGAATGTTTCAAACAGCTTCCTCTATCACACGGACAGCATGCACCTAAACCCACAGTGTCTCAAGCATACACAACCTTTTTCCTTGTAGTAGGATTTTACTCACCTGAGATGGTAGGTCTCATTAAACATGTTGACCAATGCGGCATGCATAACAACATGTCACAATAAGTAACAAGCCGTTTTTGTCCGATCAATGGAAATAATTCCCTGACAGTGTGTGTCTCTTGTCAAATGTCAAAATAAATGTGTGGGAGAAATTGGCCAGAGTGTTAGCTAGTGAGGCGTAGCAGTGAGCAGAGGGGTGTCTGCTGCTTTGAATGAGGATTTACCTCCACAACAACAACACAATCCTGGTTCAATGTGTAATTCATCCTAATGTGATGTGCTGTCTGTGATTGCTTGTTTGTCAGGAAATAGTCCCCCCCCGCCCCCCACCACCGCAAAATTTTCTACCTCCCTGCCTTCCAGGTTATGTAATCGGCAGCTATATTTGTCTTAATGGGATATGCACCATTAAACAATGTGTGTGTCGTCTGAATTATCTTCTATTGTTGCCTAATTAACAAGACCGGGGCACAGAATCTGAACCCACATGCAAATGAGAGCACAAAGAGAGATAAAAGAGTGAGGCTGGGATGTTTGATGTGCAAATACTCAAGTAAATATTATTATTATGATCAAATCCTCTCAATGGAGATGCAGTAGTTGTATTTGCTATACGCTTTAAACACATGATCTATTATTCCATCACCAAGGGTAGTAATAAAGAGCAGTAGAAGATAGGAGTAATCCTCATGCTTCCATAATTTTGGTTTCTCATTGGATGTGACAGGCGCAGCAGAAAGCCTTTATTCTGAGGATTGACCTGTCCCCTTGCTGTTACTAAAGCATAAGGGGGTCTTTAATCTGAGCACAGTGCTAGAGGGAAATCTCTGGATGATGCATCTCATTTCCCTGCCCCGCTGATTTATTGTGGTGGAAATCAGCATCTCCAGAGCCTTAAAATAGACCCTCATTGGAAGCCATTGAATAAGCGCCCTTGTTCCCCACCTGGAGAATTATCATCCTGCCTTCTCCTCCATTTCTAACCTATTGTATACTTTGTATTTGCCAATCACGCACTTCCTGATTACTACCTTTATGTTTCTCCATCAACTGTTCTTCTGCCCTGGATTCATCCATCTTCCTCTCTTCTTTTCTTTTTTTTTTTCTCCACAGCTTCCCTTCGGAGAGGGGCTCTTTCACTTGTACCCTCAGGACACTTCAAAGAGACGAAGCAAACGCAGTGCCCGCAGCAGACAGCGGCTCCAAAAAGACCGCAGGGTAAGCACACACAATAGAGAGGTGCACTGTGAGAAAAGCAGACTGTGTGTCACCTGCACGCATGAGCCTAAAGAATTGACTCCCTTTCTCTTTGCATGACAGGTGTTATTCTGAGGCTTGCTTCAATGTGCAATACATTTGAAAAAGCAGGGCTTAGAAATTGCTTAAAAAAAGTTGGATGCACTTGGTTTGCAAATTTAAATGTTTTATCTCTTCATATGCTTTGTAGGAAAACAAAATGTTAAAAAGTTAAACAGGGTAATACAGGAAAACCAGCTGGTCTACTTCATGTTTTTTATTCATTTGCAGCGACAATATCAACAAAAAATCCATTGTTTGGTCTTCATTAGTGTGGGGCGTCTTCATTATCTGTATAGTTCTGTGACTCAGTGTCTATAGGCTCCAAGGTCGGTGACTAATGTCTGCAAATGTGCACTGAAACAAAAAGGATAATTGTTTTTTCATGCTGATGTTGATGCACATTAATCCTGTTCAGATTTTGCAGTGTAAACTGTGTGAGCATGATCTGTCATTTTTTGAAAACGTTATGATGTAAAAGACGTCAGCAGCAACAGTCCCCAGCCAAGGTTGTATGATTTTAGTGTTCATTAAAGCAGCTGTCAGGTTGAACAGCTGCTGATATCATAGCAGCAATTTTCTAACAGGAAATTATTTGCAAACATGAAAATAAACTCTGAAAACAATCCCCAAAGCCTGAATCATCACAAGCATTTATTTATTAGGAAACACAACAACAGAAGAGCACTGTTTGTTTTTTCCAAAGTTAAGAGAGTTAAATACATACGTACGTTGATTGACCCATTTCTCATTTAAAAATTGATTCAGTCATTTTATTCAGTTTAAAAAAGATGTGTCGCTGCAAGCCTAGGTCTGCATTTAGCTCTGTCCACTGCTGGAGGTTGTGAACATGGAGGTCGTGCTGCAGACAATCAACTAACCTCTCTAATTGCGCTTGTGAGGGGTGCTAATGAAAAAGAGAAAAAATGCGAGCCACTCCAGTGAACTAATGCAGCTGATGGAAGAGAGACAGCGAGGACATGGGCAGGTCTGAATGTTCCAGATGCTGGCGTTTAATCAGATGCTTGACATGCTCCTATGCCACACTGCAGATATTGATTTCTTGTACATCTCTGGAATGGATGAGGTCAGCCAGTCTGATTTAGTGTCGCCTGTTTATCATTCTGAAGTGTTTTCCTCAAACGCATCAAGGTAGTATGGTGGACATATGAGCGTTTTTCACACCAGCATCTTCATGGAAGAGGGGGCAAGCAGTTGAACAGGAAAATGTAAGCAAACAAACAATTAATAGGGCTGAACGTTAAATCCCATTTTCATCATCATCATCATAATCCTGTTAAGAACATTAGAAAAAAAAACACTGTAAAGAGACAGCCTGTCTGATAATGAATAAGACAATAATGTTTGATCAGTCAAACCTAAACTTGAATAACTACATGCACACAGATCAGCCAATCAGATGGAGTCCCAGCTAGCTGTCACCCAGCACACACACACACACACACACACACACACACACACACACACATATATATATATAAAAATGAACAGAAGGTAGTTAATAAAGACCTTGTGGGGAAATATTATTTACCATTATTTGTGATTTACAGAGAGAAACATTTTTATAACAAAGTCATTGTCATTCAGATTTTTTATTTGAATTGTTACACATGGATGTAACATTTTTTAAAACATCTTTAGTTAAGTAGCATCACTGAATGTTATGTAATAGACAGACAGAGAAAAACATACTCAAATAATCAGTTTATTTGCATGTATCTATCTACGTAAACCTATACGTCCGAGATAGATATACTGTATGGATGGATGGATGGAGGGATGGATGGATGGATGGATGGATAGATAGCCTACCTACATTTATATGAGGATATATACAGATTTAGTAAATATAAAATATAATGTATAGGCTACACATACTATACAGGAAGGTGGAGAGATGTGTATTAGATGGATTTCCTTCGGTCCTTTGGAGCCCCTGGACTGTAAGGAGCACATTGACCCACTTCTGACTTCAACCACCATCTTTTTCTTCTGTTCCTCGGCAGTCTCCTCTATGCCTACTTGTCCTTCTTCAACCCTCATCTCCTTATACCTCTCATGTCCAACAATGATTTCAAACGTCTATTCATCTGCACATCCAGGCCTTCACCCTATCCACCCATCCACGGTTCCTTCCGCCCCCTCCTATCTTACATGGGACAATACATTCAAAATCTATTTAGGGCACGCAAGGAAGTGGCTTTGAATTAAACAAAGGTGGAAAATGGAATAAATCTCTGTCAATGGGCAGCATCCCTTGACCCTGAAGACACATGTCTGGGAAAGCCAGGAGGGAAACGAGGACGAGTAAGAAAAGGAGAGACAGAAGGAGCAACACAGCTCTTTGATTTGAAGTGAAGTGAAGCGTTGTGAGCTGTGAGCAGGCAGCGGGCAAAAAGGCGGAGAGGGATGGTGGTGCATGGGCACTGTTTGATGTTGTGAGTGGGCAGTATGACATGCCGTCTCAGGGGAAATACCAGCTCTCCTGCCAAGTGTTGGAATAAATTGATGATGGATGGAAAGAAGGAGGAAGCGCAGCGATAATGCAGAGAGAGTGTGTTTGGGGTTTCCCTCTGAATTCAGCCAATTTTAAAAGGAAGAAAAACAGCTAAAAATGTCTGGCAGAAGATATACATGCATAAAACAAAATGTACGTATATAGTCGGGGCTGACATTTCCTTCAAAGGACTTCCTGACATGTTGATTTACAATGTGTGTGTCTCCTGATTGCCTCGAGTGTGCCATAAAAGAAAGATCTGGATGAATAGGCTTCGGCCGCTTTAAAAGGCCATCTTAAGTGCTGCTCTGCTCTCTTATCTGTGGCGGTAAACACACCGGACAATGCCTGTTTCCCTCAGTCGCACTAGAGTGGGTTTGAAAGTACGAGAGGAACATCAAGCCACAGGGATCCATTTTCAACATGTAGCTTTTAATACGTGAAAATACATTTTGTTTTTATTGATTCGGCTATAAAATGTGTTATTTGTTATGTTATTGAAGTGTTTAGAGCGTGCTACTAGTAACGAGCGCTTTTTTTGTAAAAAAGTCCTAGTCTATTTTCCCAAAACATATATCCTTGACCTGAAACGTCAAGAGGTCAAGGAACAAGAGGAATACAAAAAGTGGATATCAAACCATACATCAACAGTTTGATTGATTGAAGGTTGGAATCAACCTGTGTGACTAGTGCAGGTCACTGATCTGTAGATCAATACAGGTGGGTCAGGTACATTTAAAGTGTCCTGATTTGGCAGTTTAGGGGAGTAGGTGAACTTTTATAGGTAACAAGTCCACACCTTCACACACAAGAGAGAGAAAGAGACAGAAGTGGACCTAAACCTTAAGGACACATCGGTCATGTGGCTGCAGTATCTGGGGATTGAACCCCCAACCTGAAGAAAGAGGACCGACTCTTAACACTGAGCCACAGCCGCCCCTGGAACTTGAATGCGATTTCAAGTAGAATTGACTGATTTGATAGATGTTATTCTCAAGACCACTTTCCAGATATGAGTGCAGTGAGTTGTTGGGAGAGTTTTGTTTTGCTATGTTGCTGTTTTTTTTTTTTTTTTTTTAACATGCAGTAGAAATGAAATCACAACATCTTTGACAAAGACACACAACCATTTCTATGCCAGCTGCTAGCCAATCAAGCGCTTGAATCCCAATCATGTAGACTCTCTGTTCTATGTTATCTTCTAGTGCTTGATAAATACATTGTGGCTGCTTTCCGCCAGTATTTGAAATCCATAACACAGCTGTTCCTCTGCCTCAGAGATTTCAAAGAATCACAAGCGTATGTGTGCATAATTGCAGCTTTTTGTTGAAAAAAAAAAATGCACAGAGGAAGAAAAACAAAAATCCATCTCTTGTGTGTGGCAGGTGAGTTTGGAAGCCGGGCTCCAGCTGCAGCCGCTCTGATTAGGGGGAAAGAAAAGAATAGGCCTTTTGATTTACATGATGTTCTGCCTTTATGATACAGTAGAGCACAGCTGGGCTTGCTGATTTCCTGTTCACAGAATGGAACATGCTTACACCTACCAGCGTCTTAAAGATCCTAGTTTGATTTGTGTGCACCTTGATTTCATTTTCCATGTATGATTCCTTTAGGCAAACCACGACAATGACCAGCTACTTCTTCTTCTTTTTTCTCCCTCTAGGTAAAGAATGTCTTTGAGCAGGAAGGCTTCAGTCGTCAGAAGCGCGGCTACAGAAATATCAATGATCTCGAAGTCAACATGAGCGACCCTCTATTCACCAAACAGTGGTATCTGGTGAGTAATCAGCCGAGCAGCCGTCTGCATGCCGCCCTGACCTTTAGGACCAACCCACATTCTTCCACCTTAATTACTCTGCTGCACAGCATATTCCCCACTACTTTCTGAATCAACATTGTTATTCATTCTTTAATTAGCCTCACCAATACTGTCTATCAGCTGCATTCATGCTGCCTATTCCTCCCCTCTTGTTTACCATAACTGGCAAGCGTGACTTTTACACCGCGGCTAGCTTTGCCGTCATTCATCCCTCTCGTCTGATGAATGTGCCGTATCGCTGACATTTACCTCCCCCTTCTCCCGCTCCAATCTCCCCTCTTCCTTCCCACACACACACACACACACACACACACACACACACACAGACTCAATGTTGACTGTTTTTTTCTTCTAATCGTGGCTCACCTGGGTGCCATGAGTCACGGATGTTCTCCATATTGTCTGAGTGATTAGATAAACACGGGCCAAGCAGATGGGACTCCTGGGTTGGATCTTAATGTGGCTGAAGCTTGGCAACTGGGCTACACGGGGAAAGGAGTAACCATCGCAATCATGGACGATGGTGAGCATGATGTGCTGTTGTTTCCTCACCCAGGAGTGTTGTGTAAAAGCATTCAATTACACCTGCACTTACTCATGATTCTGTTTAATCATTTACTTTGTTCCCATCTTATTAATAAAAAATGAAAGGACGAGCAATAAGTGTTTGCTTTACAGAATATTTCTTAGGATTACTATCCTCAATCAATTAATCAATCAATCAACCAATCGTTGTTTGTATTGCGCCAATTCATAACAAGTGTTATCTCAGGATTTCTCCTTTGTATTCTTGCCGTTCCTGTTCCTTGCCTTCCTTCCTTGCCACTGAGGTGGAGGTCGGAGCAGGCTGTGCATGAATGAGGAGAGAGGTGGTTGAGTGGACGACACAGTCCGTCAGGGATGTCGGATTGGTAGTAGTGCCAGATTACTTCGCTTAAGGTTGGGGGAGAGCCTACTGATACATTTTTCGTAAAATTTGGTATAACAACATTAATTGGATCTTATTAATGTGCCCTCCGCTATTTGTGATGGCTAACTTAATGACAGCTTCAAAGCCTGGGTTTTAAGTTTTCTTAAAGCAACATGTCGCAGAAAAGAAAAGTTCACAACATGAACATTTAAAGCCCTAATTGCAGTGTCATTTCTCAACATACAATGACAAAGATAAATATATAAAAACACATTTATACTCAGTGTTTAAAAATGTTTAAAAATCATAAAAAAGTTCTGCATGCATTAACATTTGTATTATCGCATAATCTGTTTACACTTCATAGGTGAAATCTCAATGAGCATTAGATGTGACACAACAGACTGTAAGGTTTACCTGTCCTGCATATTTATTTATTTATTAATTTATTAATTTATTAGAATTTTGAAAGCACACATGAGCAAACCAGTGACATGCGTCAAAGTATATATGCTGAATTCAGCGTAAAAGCTCAAATTCATCTGTAGTCCTCAAAAAAAGTTGTTTGTCAGAAGTAAATCATTCTCTGATATCACGATGTCAAAAAGAACAAAACTGAATGATTGTGAAACTTTTCTTTCATAACAATAAGTCACTTTAGGTCATACTGTCTTCACTCCCTCTTATCTTTAATTATTTCACTGAAAAATGTCAATATCTCATTTCAGGAATCGACTATCTTCATCCAGACCTGGCATCAAATTATGTGAGTACCTCAGAGTTATTCATTTCTTTCTTTCCTTCATTTCCTCTAAGTGCTGTCATAAACAGCAGCAGCGGTTCAGCTGCTAGATTTCATGGACTTTTGCCGTTCACCATCAGCAGTGACAGGTCCTCCCCAAGTTGCCTCCATGGCTTCCGAGTCCCCTTGTACTCCTGGAGGACGCGGAGACAGGCAGACGGCAGGCCGAGCTGTTTAATGTTAATGCACCCTGCGCTGTGGCAGGCACAATGGCAGGCCGATCTGTCACAAGCAGAGATAATGCCAGGGTGGTTGGCGCTGCATAATGTGATGCTCCATCTCCAGAATACTGATAAAAACTCACAGGACAAGAGGGATGGCTAAATTGGAACGGGGATAAGCAGAACGCTTAGCTTGATCGGACTTAAAAATATACAGTTTCTGTCACTGTGACTGCATTGAGGTGTCATCCTGCAGCTGAAGAACATGAATCTTCCAGAGAAACTAAGGTGTTTTGTAAGAGTGAGTCATGTTGCTCTGTAAGACTCAAAACACCTCTGTTTGACTGTTTTAACAAGAATTACAGTAGGAAATATGAATATAGTCTGCGTATTGTACCCCAATTATCATCATATATTTCGTTGCAAAACCATATTTAAGCAGGTTCAGTTTTCTTCTTTCCAATTGTAGCTTTCTTAAGTGTCTTTTTTCCACTTCACACATGTTCATCAATGTACTGCCAAGGTTTTTCCTGCCTTTGCATGTGTCTTGCCTGTGAACAGACCCAAAAATAACACTCCGTCTCAGCTGGGGTGATGCAGGGACACACTCCACTGGATCCATCGATGGATCCTGCTGTGCATAGATCTAAAGTGTGCGTTTGTGTGCGTGAGAGCACGCGTGGGCAGAAAGACACGGATCCTGTTCTGCTACTGTCGTCATTGTGTTTTGTAGTCCAACGAAGACCTCCTACTATGAGCTGAATAATACCATAAGAAGCGAAACAAAATGTCATCTTAAGTTCATCACATCTTCGAGTTGGATTCTAAATGATTGTGAGGCTGTGGGTCTTTGTGTGTACATGTTTGCATCTGATTTGGACAACAAAACGTTACTGCTTGGGCGTGGGATTGTGCGTGACTTCTTTTTTTTTTTGTGTTATGATCACAATGGAACAGCTCATAAGATATTTTTCTGAAAAGGTGAATTGATTTGGAGATTGAGCGTGTTTTAAGATGAGAAATTACAGCTTTGGCAGTTCAATTTCATGGCACATTTATCTGCAAATGTAAGTCCCAGAACTTCTAATTATTTCTGCATAAATAAACGCATCTATTCAGACTCTAGATGTAGTGAAAAAAACAGATTTCTTTAAATTTCCAACCTTGGCTTAATATCACTGAGAGTAAAAAGGAGGGAAAACTGATAGTATTTCTTTATAAGAGAGTATTTGTTGCATCATTTCTGAACCAGCTTGTATTTTTTACTCTTTTATCCTCTTGCTTACACCTTATAGTGTATCTGTGTGTAGTTCCGACAGGTTAGCAGATATTAATCAATCAATAGGTGAATTCATAGCTCAGGGACAATTGAGGTGTGTTTCTTGGGTTTTTGTGTCCTTGTTTTGAGCGTGACTCTCCTGCTGTGCACCATGGGAAGTTACCATGACAACATGTTATGATTTCATACCGCTACGAATTTCACTTCATATATTGCATTCGTTTGAATTCCTTTTTAACAAGGAGAGAATAATGACCACGAAAAAGAGAAAGGGCATAAGCTGATAAAATACCTTGAAGTGCAGATGTATATTATTGAGTGCTCATTATACTCTGCGGCAGAAACGTCTTCTGATGACAGTTTTTAAAGATTAGAAATACACACAGCATCTGTCTTTTGCTGCCTCGGACCTTGTGTTACCGTTTCCGTCATGGGACTTTCACTTTAAAGTACTTGCAAAAGACTTTGAAGCAAGGACACATTATACAGAATCTCTGCATCAACTCTCCTAGATTCGGATCCTCCATTAAGGTGTCAGCACGGTTTAAATCCACATGATAAGATGATACATGGGGACATCATGTCTAAGCCTATCCTCTCCATTATTCAATACATCAGGACTAAAACACACCGACGAAAGGGCATGCTTCTCTTTGGTTCTGACTATTTGCCTTATAGTGGTGATAGCAGTCCAGAGATCTGTCTAACATTGCATAGTTAAAAACAAGCAGGTGAATATGCTTACAGCTCACTGACATATGCAATTTGACAGGGAGCCCATGACTACAGACTTGTTTTAAGGTCACAATCCAAAACAGATAGTTCAGAAACATTGATTTGATCTTATTGCCTTTTAAAATATTAATGTATTTAAATGCAACATTTGAACATGCATGCAGCGAGTATATCCACCTCTCATTGAAATAGAGTGAGTCAGAAGTATTTCAGAATAAAAGGAATGTAGTTTCCATAATGACGTCATTGCTGTGCTGCACAATTTAAACGTGTAGCAACGCCTGCCAGGGATCTACTACATATCACGGCTTGAATTTCAGTGATAGCTTATGTTGAATGTATTTACCCAAAACAAAGGGAAGAAAACAGCCAACTACTTTTGTTGTTTTGAGCTCACACTGCGTCATTTCCTGCGTGTCAAATCTTTGCAGTGAAATGCATGATGCCGCACTTCTAAGTGGTGAATGCCCTTAACTGTATAGTGCACCATATAGTGAGCTGTGGTTGATTTTGGACACAGCCTAGTTTCACAAGGCATGCTGGCTAACATTGTAAGAGCTTTGAGCCTCTCTCTCGAGTACCTTTCACAATGAGAACTGGAAAATGGACGATGGATTCCAGGCAAAGGTGAGGGAGGTGTATGAGACACCAGAGGAAGGGCTGAGTCTGATTGAAAGCAGTAGATATGAGGTTGAGAAGCAGAGAGAGTGATTCATGGACACGGTCCTGTGTCATGTATTACTGGGGGGCTCAGCACTTTTCACTCCATTTAATGAAAAAGGGAAATACATGTGCTCCTGACACAAGTTAAATATCCTCTTTGGCAGTCGAATGATTCCTCAGAAGTGAATAATGAACCCAATTTTGAAATCAGTTTTTTACTTTCCACTATTTTGACCAGCAACACTGCAGGTGTTTTGCCACGTGTTTCAAATGATTTCATCTTTTTTCTTCATTTTATATCCACAAAGAGAGAAGAAGACAGAAAGGTTATTCACAATATTTATCATCACAATCCGTTGAAACAATTAACTTTTTCTATTGCCACTTCAACATGCAACACCAGACAGTGTGTTAGCAGTTCTGCTTTCCCCTCCTTTACCTGCTCCACATTGGGATAATTACAGTGTTTCTCTACTGGGTCAATAAGCTTTTGCTGTTTCGCTCTCCCTTTGTTGCTGCTTGAGTCATCTCCCGTAAATGCCAGCCAGCAGAGCTGTGAGGCCCGAGCGAGGAGTCCCACGATTGATATGATGTGTTTGATTATATGGCTAATGAACTCTTGCTGTGACTTCTCTGTAGTCAGGACCGCACAGAGCATCTGTTACTGAGTACACAGAGCAAAGTAAACAGCACTCAATGGGACGTGAGTGACAGGTAAAGAAAGGAGAGATTACTGCAGAGTGCAGTAGCTTGAATGCACCTCAGAAGTGCGTTATAGGAAGAGCAATACAGGCATGATATTTCCCAAGGATGTCTGCTATATTTGGCTGTGCATGTAGTGCTATAGCTATGTCTGGTGAAGCTACTCTCCAAATCATTGCCCCGTGTTATGAACTGCAACATTAAAAACTACTCTTGAATATTAAGTGGACCAAAAAGAAAGTTAATAAATATTCCACATTGTATGTCAACCTGAAATGCCAATCATGCACATCATAATAGGATAGGACGAGATGAGATAAGATAAGACTATTGTCACCAAAGAGAAATTTGTCTTGCAGTTACAAGAGAATAAAAAATAAATAGAGATCATAAAAAACACGTGCATAAAAACAACTTTCTGCAGCAGTGACATATTGACATATACACAGCCCCCTTGGCAGATATAATGAAGAGATCATTAGTTCAACAAAATAGTGTGACGTTGCTCAGATTATTGTTGTTTATATTTTGATTAACTTAGCGAGTAACTAGTAAGTGTTAGTTATTTGATTTAGATATTATGGCTGATAACCCAATGAGCTACACTTGTCTCCTCACACTGGATTCAGGTTTATATACCCAACACTGACTGTAAATACTCCACATATACCTGCATCCATCCTGCAGTACACCACTGTGTGTGTGTCTTCAGACATTCTGACACTTGTGTTCACTGCGATAATGTCTCTTCGGTGTGTCTTTCACCTGAGTCCATCTCCTTTGCTTTTCCACTGATGTTCCTTTTTTTATCTTGTTACTTTAGGGCCTTGTTGAATTACATCCTAGCATTAATTGCGTCAGTTTACTTAGCCTGAAATCCCTTCTCTGACCAAACATTATTTCAGTTTCCCCAAAGAGTACATCTTTTTTTTTTCTCTGATTTTGTCTTTTAACTGTCAACTTGTCTCAAACTGAGTTTTTCTTACTTCCATTTATTAATGGTCTGTTATGTTAAAGGAATAGTTTGACATTTGATGAATTTCTCAACCTGTCGCTCAGACTTATTGGAAGTTGATCCTCAAGTCTTTACTGTTGAATCAAAGCTAAAGCTCGCAGATTTTCACATTACGCCATTTACTGGGAAAAACTCAAAATTGTTCCATTCGGAGCAGTAATGATAAGGTCAGCACTTCACTATAAAATGCTCCTCTCTGCTTTCTCATCCTTTTTTTTCTGTTTGTCTGTTGTTGTTTTTGTAACTGCATCCATTTGGTCCTTTCAGAATGCTGATGCCAGCTATGACTTCAGCAGCAATGACCCGTTCCCATTTCCCCGCTACACAGACGACTGGTTCAACAGGTAAAGCCCACTCAGCCAACCTCTGTTTATATATACACATAGTCAATGTGTGTGCACATGTGTGTGCGCTCCCCGGAGTCTGGCAGCTCTCCTCTATTGATTTTTCTCTCCACATAGTTCCATTAAGACATAATGGTGCAGTATAAACTGAGCTGTTGTCCTACACAGCACAATAGAAAAACAGGCCCTATTTTTACCCGCTCACTTGGAAGCGATAAGGTGGATAAAGGAGGACTAGCACAAGTCTAGTCTCTCCTCAGGGTCGCAGTGTTCACAGTGTCGACCTTCTGTCTGATAACACCTTATCTGCCTCACATCTCCCAATCACACTGATCCACTGCCACAGCAACACATGTAGCGGAGAGGAACAAAGGGAAATACATCCCTTCTCCGCCTCTCCGCCTCCACTCTGCGTCCATCTGCTTAGATGTATCATTGTGTGTGCATCTGTGTGGGAGTGAGGGAAAAAAGGGTGTATTTGGGTTTGCCAGTGAAGCAGTACTGTTTTGCTGGCTGTCGGGCACAGCTCGCTGGCTAATCAGCTGGTTGTTATAAATAGCTGCCTGTCTCTAGCAATGCATGCTGGGAGCGAGGGGTTGACTCTCTGCAGTGTCCCTGTGGGGAGAGAAGGGATGTAGAGATAGACACACATCACATGGTGCACACAGAACACTGATATGTGCAAACACATTTAGCCAGACTCCGATGAGTGATGGATAAATGGAGGGTTCCTCTCCATGAGCTAAACGCTCTCAGGTTAATAAATGACACTGTGCTTATGCTAATTTAATAGGCTGTAACTACTGAAAATGCTTAGTCTTTTTCTGTCAACAATTTCTAATTCTAGTCAGACACAAAGTCAACAATAGCAGTGTTGCATGTAATGTAAAAAAAAAATCTAATCTAAACCATAACCCCCCAAAAATATTTTTTTAATTCATGTAAATTCATGCAAATCCTCTTAGATATATTCTCTTTTTTTCCTGCCACAGTCACGGCACACGCTGTGCAGGAGAGGTGTCTGCGGCAGCCAACAACAACATCTGCGGTGTGGGAGTCGCCTACAACTCCAAGGTGGCAGGTGTGTGTCACATTAAAGCTGCATGCTGGAAAGTGAGAGGAATAGCAATGAGCCAACTATAATGTAAGTCAATAAAAGGTGTGATTATGTGCCCAAGAAAGGATCACAGGAGGTAATTCAATCCGAGGGAAATAGTGCACACATCATGTATTAAATGTTAGAAGAGCTGCATTGTTGTTGTTTGGTAGTGAAGCATGTTATAAGGGTGCACCGCAGAACCCACAGAAATGTGGCACAATCCAGACGACTTCATATATATATTGATTATTATCATCATTATTTATATTGATTCTTTAAATTTGCTCTGGGAGTAACAATAGAAAAAAGAAAATGGGTATCGACTGTCTGATTTGTGAGCACAAATGTAGATGACTTCACCGTCTCTGCTAATTTGAAGCCTTTAGATGTTGTGATGGTGTTGTGTATTGTACGGTCTTGACTGTCTAGATATTGACGTTATTGTGGAGAATCAATAAAAGGGAGGATTTTGAAGTTCACATGGAGACATTACTCTGTCAGGCATCAGGATGTTGGACCAGCCGTTTATGACTGACATCATTGAGGCATCATCCATCAGCCACATGCCGCAGGTTATTGACATCTACAGTGCCAGCTGGGGACCGACCGATGATGGGAAGACTGTGGATGGACCCAGAGAGCTCACGCTGCAGGCTATGGCTGATGGCGTCAACAAGGTAAGGTCACTTTACACCTGCTGTGCTGAGGGTTTCATTATGATATTAAAGGAGCAACATGTAACTCTGACACCTAGTGTTTAAAATGGGCACTGCTGTCCAAATTCCAAAAGTAGCTTCAGTGTTTGACGAGCTCTGCATTGGTCTTGAAACCTTTCTGTGTCTTAACCTCTCTCATTTTTTTTAAAAGCATCTTCAATATCTTCTACCACGTTTCTGCTCGTTGAGTGTATTAGAAAAAATGTCGAGGCACCCGCTGTGCCTGACCAATCAGAGACATTCAGCACTGCAGGGGCTGCATGCCCTGTTCTCCAAAAGTCCTGGACCTCTTGAAAGTAGTACCCCCCTAGCAGGGTCTTTTTACCCCAGAACTAAATTTAGACCCTGGTAGATTTGGTCGAGACGCACAAAGTACTTTCGAAATGTTGCTTTTAAGTATTCAGGGTCTTTTTCATATACGACTACTTGTGAAGTGGGTCTGATGGATGCTCAATGCTATTAGCAGTGTAGCTCTAGCCCCTAAAGAGTTGTGTTCCAGGTCTTCTAGAGCAGAGAGGCCTTTCGTAATGACCCTTCAGTGGAGTATAGAATAGCTAAGTTAGGCGACGATGTGGGCCCTGTGGCTGAAGGGCTGTCGTCTTACACACACACACACACACACACACACACACACACACACACACACAACCAGTTGCCATGCTAACAGTGTCATTTCCAATTACTTGCTTGATTAATCATCATGCACTGTGTGCTGGCCAGTGTGGGTTTTGCTCTAAAGTGACCCGGTCTCATGCAGGGTGGCTGAGTACAAGAAAATCTGACTGTAATATCTGATTATGTAAACACATCTAATCAAGTAGGTACTCTGCAATCCACCGCTTAGATTCTAATAATCATTCCTATAAACTGCTGTGTAGGCTACCCATTGTGTACACATGGCTCATAAAAAGAAAGTTTAAAATAAAGAAGCACACTATGTCACATTTTCAGCTAAGTCTGATAAAGTTAATTTAAAATTGCATCCTTAACGTCACTGTGTGTCTTCTGCAAATACCCAGAGATCATTTTAATAGATGACATTGTGCAAAATGAAAGCACTCTGTTTGGACAATGCAGGAGACAGAAGGTCAAAGGCTTGAAGTTCTTACAGTAGGTCAATAGGTGAGCTCAACGACGCTCAAACCTGCCTTTGCAATTCAAACAGAGAGCGTCATAAATAAGCACCGCGAAGAGAAGGATTTGCCACTCCTCCCGCTCCTACTTGATCTTTTCCTTTTGTGAGGAAGTGCTCGTCCTCTAGTTGAAACAGGTGCAGCATGTGGTGAAGAGGAGGCTCTCCGCATGCTGCCAGTTGTTTCATGTTTCGAGGCACTCTATCTGTAACAAAGATGACATTTTATTGTGCTTACATATACAGAGAGTATATGCTATGCATTTTTAAGCCGTGACTTCTGTTCTGCCTTTTGACCTGCTGTAATTAGAAAGAGAACAGCTGTGGTACTTTGAGAACACACATTCTTCCTTTAGAGGATATTCTATACTACACAAGTGCATACAATGGGAACCAGTTTGGATTCTTGGGGTGTAAGTAAGGTTTTGCCTGAATGCTTTGATTTGAGTGAAGGCCGTATGGTTGATTTGAATGGAGAAGTTTTCAGTGTTTATTGTCTTGACCTAAATTTTCCCCAGATCTCAGTTTTTCCTCATTACTTGAATGCACAAAAACATAGCCTGAACTTTTCTGTCAGTGTGTGATATGAACCCAGTAGTGATGATCCTGTTTAAAAAGAGGTATTTGTAATGAATGCCTCCATTATATTTTGACATATTTTCTTTTCCTGCATTCGCCTGAGCCCGAATTGTTTTTTCAATCATTTGGAGGAGGATTTCTAACAACTTTACTCCACTTGCACACACATGCACCACCTGTACAGCCTATAATCAGTTGGAACTCCCAAATTCCCACCTCTCATTTCAACCCTGTAAGCCTCACTTAACAACAAGAGGTAGTGCCTGTATGACATCATTCTCATCATGATGATTGTGTTTTTAAGGGGCGAGGAGGTAAAGGCAGCATCTACGTGTGGGCATCAGGAGACGGCGGTAGCTATGACGACTGCAACTGCGATGGTTACGCCTCGAGCATGTGGACAATCTCGATCAACTCGGCCATCAATGACGGACGCACCGCCCTGTACGATGAGAGCTGCTCCTCCACCCTGGCATCCACGTTCAGCAACGGACGCAAGAGGAATCCAGAGGCTGGCGTTGTGAGTTTGTTTGAACGCGTGTATGTCTCACAGAGGCTGATGAATAAGCTTATCAAAATTAGGTTCAACGGGCCCCGACGTAATCTTTCTCTGCTCTTTTGGATGTCTCAAGACGTCTCAAATCTTGTTGGTGACATTCTGTCTTTCAAAAAAGATTGTCCTCATTCACAGATTGAACTGTAAATGGCTTCTTTATGATTGCCGGGCAGACAGTGTTTCCCAGGCCTTTCAGGATATTGAATGAGAACAGGGATCAAACTGTTGTGAAAAATGTCTCCCCGGTGGAAGAAAATAGCTCTTCTTTGTTCACATTACTGGACCTCACTTTGCTGTAGAACCCTAGAGCAGGGTATCAGGCATGTTGGATGCTTTTATTAAGAGACTAAAGGTTTTACTTTTTTATGGACTTGTGGCTTTCCTTTATTAGTTGCTATTGATAGAAAATGTCCTTTACCATGACTGTGTTGCTTTGTGCTTCATTGTAAGAGTGCTTTTTTGTATGCAAGTGGAAATCATGTAAAGAAAGGGAAAGAGATGTACTGAAGTGAACATAGTGATTGACCTTAGCATGACACAAACAGGAAACAACCATAAGAGGCCTAAAGAACTGTGTCATCAGTGGGGAATTCATGACAAAAGAAGTGAGTCTTCAACATCAAACAGACGAGTGGACATCGTGCACTATCTTTTGAAATGAAGACAATTAAGACACAGCTGAAGTACGATAGACGCTGCTTCCTCGCTGAAGGCAAAAGCCTGACCTTGATGGTCAACATTATAAAACTGAATGCCCTTACACAAACACAGAGCATGTAGACCCACAGCCTTTGCTACGCTTGTGTGTAATAAGGATTGCTTAGTGTATAAGGCAGCAGTGTTTGGGTTTGTGATTATGCAAATCACCTTTGGCTGTTGACAGAGCCACGGATCTTCCCCAGGGTTCTCCATCTAATTTCAGTCAATCAGTCATTATTTCTCATTAAGCACCAAATTATATTGCTTATTCAATAAGCATAGACACTGCTTGCCTGCTGATTTGTGTATAGTACAGTTTAGCCAGTGTACACTCTGAACTCAGATGCATCCTTTTCTTATCTGTATTTTAAACTTGTAACGAGAGGATCATATTGATGTTGTCCTGTTTCTCATACAGCCTGAAACGTGGCTGTATCAAACAAGTATTCCAGTCAATGCACTGATCAGAAACTCCCAATTAACTATGAGGTAAAATATCATGACGATATGATGATTATTGTTATAATGATAGAGAGAGATTAATAGATACTTCATTGATCCCGATGGAAAATTCAAAGCATCCAATAGCAACTTGTAAGACACATATGATGTGATATAGTTGTTATGCTTAATAACACCCACTCTTCCCCCTCCCATATGTGTATATTAACTCAAAGAAAGATTTAAAAGAAACCCCTTCATAGATGTAACGGCCTCCTTAACCAAAATAATTACACCAAGGCTCAGAACATGGAGACTGAAAACATATAAGGACGCCACACAGATTTAAAGATAATTAAGGAATCAAATAAACAAAAGGGGCTGCAGACCCAGCCAAAAAGAACAAAAGATGGGAAGGTGCCGAGCCAACCATTTAATTGGTCGTAGCGTCATCTTTCCCTAAAACTACCTTCAGAAGAAAAGACAAACCCAAAGAAACCAAAAAAACGAAAATAGGAGTACTGGTGATCTCAAGCCCAAACTATACTAACAAAAACAATCTTGACATGCGAGGGGAAAAGGCAGAAAAACTGGGGGACAAAAGCTCCTGACAACATCGCTGCCAAGAGTCTCTCCTACCCAGCTCCTCTAAAAGACCACTTCTCCTCCCTGAAAACCCGTACAGTTAAAAGTAAGACCTAGCTTGTGGAGGGTGATATTAGTCAAAGCTAGCGAAATGTTAGCAATCTGTGTTTTGCCACCATAATGAGTATTGTTGGACTAGTAAAACATTTTCTTAACCAGGTTTTTTCCCTTTGAGATTAAGAGCCTCTGTTTCAAGGAAGACTTGGCCAAGATAGACAGACAAACACAAAAATGTACCTTAAAAGACTCTGTTGCACCACCAGCTAAAAACATCGACATCCTATAGGTCTTTCATTTTAGATTTAAAGACATTTAATGACACCAGCTCCTTGAGTTTCAAGTCGTTCTACAGCAAATATCTAATGACCCCCTTGAAAACGAGATGGTGCATCTCAAGGGGTTTGAATTGCCCCCTCGGGGACAAATAAAGTTTTTTGAATTGAATTGAATTGAATCCCTCCAATAAAAAATGTGAAATATGTAGTTCAGGGGAGGGTATTATTGTATTGATATTGAAGATAAATTTTTGTCCTGATCTTCCCTCATATTGTTCCTTTCAGGCTACCACAGACCTGTATGGGAACTGCACACTGCGTCACTCTGGGACATCAGCAGCAGCTCCAGAAGCAGCCGGTGTCTTCGCTCTGGCTATTGAGGCTAAGTATGTGCTCCACTCCCCCTTCTTTAAACCTGCAGTACCTCTGTCTGTACAAAACAGACTCAGAGAGTTGAATTAGAGCAGAAAAAAATGCCTTTTATTACATTTTGATATCCTTTGACTTGACAGAACAGTTTTTTTTAGGCTATTCATGTATTAGCTGCTGAATATAACCCTGAGATTTTATATCCCTACTCTATGATGTCTTTGACCTCTTAAGTCAATATCTTTTCTCATATCCTTCTATTCAAATTCTCCATCCTTTTCTGAACCCTTTATAAGCACGGATCATTTCTCAACTTTTCACAGGATTGCTTATTTATTGCACAAGTCAAATGAAAAGTAAAGTATTCTGTTTAACACAAAGTACCGAATCTATGGGCTCGGCCAACGACACACACCATGTGATAAGAAGTTTAAAAATGCAGATTATATATTGTTTGGATGGGCTAGCTGAGTGCTTATGTTTGAGCTATCTCTGCGCCTAAAAGCAGTGAAGAAAATGTGCTGAATGAAATACTCTACAATATGAAATTATCTCAACCTTCTGAAAATGTAAGTAGGTTAATGGTGTAAGCAAAGCATATCAAAATCTGTTGATTATGTATAATAACAGTTTTTTTCTATAATCCTTGTGAATTTTAGAAAAGCTTATTATGTGTAGATTAGAAAATAGCTAAAATACACTGCAGTTTAGTGAATCTGCCAAAGCATAATTAAACCAGTATGAAAATCTAAAACCCTGCGTATTACCATAATCCCCAAGGAGACTCTTCTTTCCCTTGAGATGCTTCATTTCTGACATTGAAGGTTTACAAGACACCGCTGCCATTAAGTGACACCTGCTAGTGGAGCTGAGTAAAGAAGGACTGTTTGCTTTGCACACACAGTAATGATGTCGCTATTAGGAGGAGCGGATGCTTACCCTCTCCGGCAGCAAATAACCCACGAGGCTGTTAGGACGAGTGCGCGGGCCTTTTTACTGCCCAAACACACTCAAAACCATCCTACAGCAGGAGTGAATGAGTCAGCCTGAACAAAGCTGTCGCCACACACAGCCAAAATTACTAAGGGAGACACAAACACGGGGATCTTTGTGCCTCAAAGAACAGACACTATGAGTGTTATATAATCTAAAACATGCAGAGATAAACCTTGTTCACAGAGGTCTAACTGTTTGGACTTAATAAAGGAAGAATCCTTTTAGGTTAGAGGCAAAAATCTCTTCAAGAACTTCAAATTCCTGTTGCCTTCTTGGTGAAACTTTTTTTTACTTACACTTTACTTTACTTACACCAACAGCTTATAAAAACAATGTGGGGAAATGTTATTACGTCCACAATTTAAGTTGTAACTTGACAAAGCTGCTCAGGCCAGAACCTTATGAAATGGTGATGACTTTTCTAGTTATTAGCCACATCCTCCGCTGTACCAGCTGGGAAAACTGTCACAGCTTTTCTATATTTCAGACTATATTTTGGTGGCACAAATCATAAAAATCACCTAATGGTTCATTTGTATTCTTTTCTGACCATGTTGTTCTTTTTAAGTCCCTGAGGGAATTCTGGTTTTACACTCTGTTATAGAGATACACACATGCATAAGCATGACATTTGGACATGCAGAGCGGTTGGGGGTTCAGTGCTCAAGGGCATTACTTGGGAAGTGACCCGGCTCTTTTCCAGCTACCAGACCAACTTCCATTTAATGGTCCACACCCGGACCTTAACATAAACTGAGCTACTGCTGCACCAACAGCGGGATAGTGCCCTTTGAGGTTTAAGGTGTCACTATTAAGAAAAGATAAGATACAACTTTATTGATCCCCCATTTAGGGAAATGTAGTTGCAACAGCTCAAAGTTACGGACATCAAAATACAAGGGAAACATGTACTGACAATAGATACATAAATAACATAATAATTCTAAATAAACACACTATGTACATCTTCACTTGTGGGATGATACACAATTGCACAGGTTACAGACTTAGTGCAAGAGGCAGTCTAAATTGTCTTAATTTCCTTATAATAAACACCACATTGGGAAGTAACTCTCATTCAAACCTGATATTTCCTGCTTAAATTTATGATGTAAACTTTCTGTCTCCCCCAGCCCAAACCTGTCCTGGAGAGACATGCAACACCTGTCAGTCCTGACCTCCAAGAGGAACCAGCTTCATGACGAGGTGCACCAGTGGAGGAGGAACGGCGTTGGCCTCGAGTTTAACCACCTGTTTGGCTATGGTGTGCTGGATGCCGGGGGGATGGTGAAAATGGCCAATGAATGGAAAACAGTGCCTGAGCGTTTCCACTGTGTAGCCGGTTCCATCCAGGATACCCAGTGAGTCACGTTTCTTCTAATCCTTACTTTTTTTTGGCTATACATTCTGCACACTTCATGTGCACTCTGCCTATTGGAAATTTCAAGCTGTCCCCACCGAGATGCTGAAAGGAAAACACTGCTGAGCCTAAGAGACACACTCATCTAATTACTGGGTAATTCCAATAAGGTTTAATTCAATAAAACAGCTACAATGGGAGTGTCGACTTCATGACCCTATCATATTCAGATTAGCTGCTCAGTCTGTCTGATGGTCCTGTACAAATAATGAAAGACTGTGATCGTGACAGGTGCTTTTTTGGTTAATGGGTATTAACTAACCATAGTAAAGTTGTTGAATGTTTTTTTTAAATAAATCTTGTGCTATTGTTTTTTAACTAGAAAATGAAAATGGAATGGATTTATTTTCAGTTTTAACAAACAGTCCCCCTGCGGCTTGAACATTTCTTATTAACCTTACAGTAGGAATATGTTACTCTTGAGAAGCGAGATTAAAAATTCTAACTTTAACAAATGTGAGGTTTAATCCATAGAAGATACATCACGCTGTTGCTTAGTCTAATAAAATGCTTGGTTTTGTGACTTCAGCGTATGGCGGCTAATCGTAGCTAAATCCACAACACTTTCGATGGTATAACTATTACTGTACGTTGGATATTACTGAGCAAGTCAGAAGTTTAGTGTTAAAGTTTTCTCTTTAAATTGATTTGGCCTAATGCTTAACAGATGATATGCACTTAGTTGGATTTAGCCTTTAGCCTACTTTGCTGCTATTTGAGCTAATATTACATGTCCTGTTTGCAGCTATAGTTCATGGCCGGTACCAACATGTATGATTTTGTGACGTGCAGAATACAATCAGTCTAGCACACGACTTGCAGAAGTGTGCTGTGAACCCATTAAAAGCAAATTCTGCCGTTCAGTTAATTTCATAGCCTTGCTCAAATCAAAGTTTCATAAATATAAATACATGCATGATCCACATTATTTTAGAGGGAAATCAAAGATACATCTTATCGATTTGGGAAATAGAAAATGCTTTGTCTGGTTGTTTGAATTGGAGAATATGTTTTCTTTACTGATAGAGAAGCTGATTATTATTATTACTTTTATAAAATATTTTACACACGAGATGTAGCTGTAGCTATGAGTCTTCTCATCTAGTCCTCTCCTCTTCTTCTGGTCTTCTTCTCCATTAACAGCCTTGCCTTCAGTTTTCACTCTACACCTCTAGCCTCCTTCCCCGTCTTTACTTTCCAACCCAACTTTACTCTTCTTTTCTTTCCCCTGGCCCCCTCTGCTCACCCTAACAGGGTTTTGCTATCCATCCATCTATCATATCAATAGGCTTCCCACTCCTGTGAGGGATGACTGTTGACTTCCCCCAGCATACCCTCTTATTCCCTTAAATTAGACTGCCACAAATGGCCCAGCATGGCGGGCCCTGGAAACACTGTCAATTACCCTGACTGACAGCCAGGAAGGGATTCCAGGTTGAGGTGTTTCTGTGTTTGTGGATGTAAACTTGCAGCTTTCACATGTGTTGTGGAAATGTCAATGCGTAGGTGTAGATAAAACAGCAGGCTGTATATGGTTTGTCTCTTCAGGCTTTGCCACCATCATCCCCTCAGGATCCTTATTTTACTCTCCAATCAGTGCTCCACAGGTGATGCAGTCACGACAGCATGGCGTGAAAGTAATCCCCTATGTGTCAGAGAGTGTGTGTGTGTCTGTGTCTCCCTTGAGTTAAGGCCAGTTAAAAAAAGGAACACCCCTTTAAGATTTTATTTAAATGTCGAAGAGAGCTTGCCTCATAATATTTGGACATTTGGCAAAAAATGTTGCCTTGCCATTGACATAATCAAAAAATGGATGGTTTCCAAATGTGGGACTTTCAGCCAGGAGAGTATTATTTAAGTAACTCAACAGGCACACATTCATTTGGACTTATTTTAACCCAAACCATGATATTTTCCCCTCAACCTAACTACAAACAAAAGTCCTAGCAGGTCATTATTTTGCCCAAACCTTCGCTCACTTTGACCATTTGACCATTTTAACCAACTATCTTTGAATGATTTTTGCACACACTCCCCCTTCCAAAAAAATAGAAACGTTTGTTGTAAACTTCATCTTTAACCAAATGGTTTTTTGTTTATTGCTGTTGACTGTTGTAGTTTAATTGTCTAACCAGATGTAGCATTTTTTACTAAAGAAAACTTGATGCCTGCATATGCTGAACTGACCCTGGAGATGTACCCAGATCATCATATTTTGAAGCATACGGCCACATAAAACAACATTTATATTGGATAAAGAGAGGGGTAGGAACGTGTTGGCTTGAATGCGACATCAAACAGACCAATTTGCAGAAGGCGACATCAGCACTCTGCTCAGCCATGAACAAAATATCAATATCTAAACAAATACCATATAAAGCAGTATTTATGATAATAGAGATAGCATCTCTTTTTTTTCAAGCTATCTCTTAGCTGTGTTAATAGCTGTGCGATATTATTCATCAGTTCATTGTTTTCACAGCTGCACTGCAGGGCTTGTGCTGCCTCTATTGTGGTTGAGATATAATTACAACAAGCCCACCTCTGATGAAAGTGTATCACCAGAGAGAGGCAATAAACACCAACATAGCCACAGCCCCGCAAACGCACCGCTCAGCATTGATCTGATGGCTGCTCTGGCTTGCTGTGGCTTACTTGGCTGGAGGAGAACCTCTCATTACCAGTGGAGCTGGCATGCATTGGCCCCTGTGAGCTGTGAGGTTGTTTTAATCTCCCCTGGTGCTGCCCTTCAGTGGCATCCCTCTGCCTGCTCTATGACCCACTGTGGTAATTACTCACACTCTTCATCGGATGGGAGCTGTGCTCCTGCTGTGCACAAATTCACTTTATGGTCCAAAGTAAAACTCCTAGACTTATACTCACAGAGATCAATTACAATAAAAACATGTTGTAAGTTGGAAAATAATTCAATAATTAATTATGTGCAAATAAAAACTCACAGATTTAGCTAAACTCACAGAGATAAAGTCCAATTTAAAAATGTATTAAAGTGAGGACACAACTTTGTTTTACTTTATTACATTTCTCCACCCATGATCTATACCGCCTATGCCATTCGGGGTCTCAGGGGCTGGAGCCGATCCCAGCTGTCGTTGGGCGAGAGGCGGGGTACAACCTGGACTGGTCACCAGTCAATCACAGGACTGCCATACAGATACAAACAACCAACTAATCACATTCTCATCAGAACATACAGACCTTTGGGCTGTGGGTGGTAGCTGAAGTACCAGGAGGTACTGAGAGAACATGCAAACTCCACACAGAAAGGCTGTGTATGATGGGGATTCAAACCAGGCACACAGCATTAATTAACCACACTGCAGTCCCTTATATGTAACACATAGTATTTTGTTTCATCAAAATTTAAAACTCATTATTGTATTTTTGAAGATGGAAAAAAAGGAAATTGCAACTTTGTAAAAATGGTTTTAAAGATGTCTCTTTATATTTTAGGTACATAACAAATTTGAAGAGCCATGTTGTTAACGAGTTTAATATTTGGTTATGTCAGATTTCTCACTGAGCATTTCAGGGTGTAACTCCCTGTAAAACACCCCGCTGTGAACTGTTCTGTTTTTCTGGGAAGAGTAATTCGTTTCATCAGCGCTAAGAAGCTCACCGCTGCACTCGCCTGGCTGTGCTCATCATAGTGCTCCATTAATCATTTTTCAAACCGAGTGCTGTTCCACACGTCTCTCTCGTCTCTCTCACTCCAGTCTCTGGTTCTTGTCCTCGTTTCCCTCTCTATGCCCCCATTTCCCACCGTGTGCAGTTCAAGCGTAAACTCACACACTGTTATTAAGCCTCCTCATATAGCCTTTGGCCACCATCCCTGTCCTGCTGTGTTCCCACTCGTTCCCTCCATCAGTCAAAGAGATGGGAACGACGGTGTGCCGTTCCATCCACAAAGCAGTACCAATACCAAGACCGTCTTGCTTTTACTGTCTGTTCTGAACAAATCCAGTCGGGTCAATAGAAAAAAAAGAATACGTTCATTATGAAATAGACAAATCATTCTCCTCTAGTTTTAACAAAAGGCCTCAGATTAATTTCTAATTAACAATTCCCTGCAGTTTAACAGTATAATCCACATAGCAGGCTGTAGTTTTACTGTCTATGTTTAAATACTTATGATAATACTTGCTTTTTCCCATTGATTTCCATTTTCATCGCACAAAAGTGCTAAGAAGTTGCTGTTTTAGCCACTCAGATTTGCTCTGTTCTGTAATTCTGTTGGAATTATTGTGTAGATGCTTACCTGGTTCCTAAAAACTTCCAACAAGATTGTGTCACACTTTTTTGATATTCTATAGTTTCATTAGATGATTGACAACTAGTTATTCGTTGCATTTACATTGAAAACCATGATTAGCATCAGCCCGTGTGTTATTTGGCTCCCACAGAAGACGAACTGGTCGTAAAGAAAGGCTCTGTATGATCAACAGCTGGTAGCAAGAAATGAAGGCCTATGTGTAGCGTGTGTGGCTCCAAATAGCAGAGGTTTTCATTTTCATTCCCACCACTAGACATAAATTACACAGTAAAGCGCCAAGATATGACAATCATCACTGCTTTTGTGCGATAAGGGAGCAGGTTCAAAAGGAGCCTTGATTTGCCGAAGGAAAAAATAGGTCAAGTACTGTATTTACTTGGATATTCAAAAGAGAGCTGGGCTGAAATTCACTGGGAGAAAGAAAAAAGTTATTACATCTTCCATTTGAAGTTTAACCACAGGGAAGCAATCAAAATGCGGTCTTATTTCCTCCAGTTAATGGAGTTTTGGATGTTTTAAACACTAATATTTGGCTTTTCCATGTCTCTCTGCTGAACAGTTTTTAACAGTTCAACCTGTTTCTCTCTCTCGCCAGTAAAATCCAGTCTGGAAACAGGCTGGTGCTAGCCATCAACACTGAAGCCTGCCAGGGGAAGGACAACTTTGTCCGCTACCTGGAGCACGTGCAGGCGGTAGTCACCGTCAACGCCAGCCGCCGTGGCGATCTGAACATCAACATGACCTCTCCCATGGGCACAAAGTCCATCCTGCTGAGCCGAAGACCCCGCGACGACGACTCCAAGGTGGGCTTCGACAAGTGGCCCTTCATGACCACCCACACCTGGGGCGAGGACCCCCGTGGGACCTGGGTCCTGGAGGTGGGCTTTCAGGGGGAGGAGCCACAGCGCGGGGTCCTGAAGGAGTGGACTCTCATGCTGCACGGAACACAAAGTGCCCCTTATATAGACCAGATAGTGCGTGATTATCAGTCCAAACTGGCAATGTCTAAAAAGGAGGAGCTGGAGGAGGAGCTGGATGAAGCTGTAGAGAGAAGTCTGAAGAGCTTGCTGAGTAAAAACAACTAAAAAAAAAAAAAAAAACCCATCTGCATGTTGTCAAATCTTTCTCTTTCTCCCTCTGCAATCTTGCTCAAATCTGTCTCTAAATCTCACATGCATCACCTCAGTTCTTCTCACTCGATGGTTATCCTCCTTTTCTTCTACCTCTTATCCCTCCTCACTCCGCTTTTTGTTCTCAAGTGTTTCAATTAGCCCCAACCTTCGATGAACGTGTGTGTAATGGAACCATCATTCAAGTGTAACTTTTAATAACTGTTCTAGAGAAATGAAACTATCTCACCATGAATTTTGACACTCCACAGAACTGTACAAAAACGGAATACAGTCCACTCTTTCATGCTCTTGCTTTGACTGCCCTGCACCTCTCTTCTGCCGACTGTTGTACAGTTTGTGACTGTAAAGGATTTTCTGTGTCATTCTACTTAAAGTTTATTATCTTGCAAACAGAGCAGTGATACTTCTTTCTGATGATATTTTTATGTGACACGCACTGTTTATATAAACTAAGAAAGGAAATATGTATTTTATTTTGCAGCCTGTGGTCCTCGGTTCATCTTTCATAATCTTTGACGTATACTATAATAAATCTATTCAGCTCTTTATTAAAGCACTTGAGTGATTTACAACACACTACCAAACCCAACATGCATGTTATTGAGATTCCATTTTCAGATTAATTTTTGGACCCTTTATTGTCCCATTAGAGAAAGAGGACAGTGGATGGAGTCGGAAATCAGGGCAAGTGAGAGAGAGAGAGAGGGAGAGAGAGAGAGAGAGAGAGAGAGAGAGGTGATTCCTACATATTTGATGGATAAAAACATAACAGACAAAAACAATGCTTAAGACCAAAGACGGAGCATTTGGTGGAAGAAACAACAACAACATATAAGCATGTATTTATATATAAGTAGAGCATAAGCTGAACAGTAACGGACTGGGTTTTCAGTCTTTCCACAGATTTTTTGTACTGTCCATTAAAGGAAAATTGCCCTGTGAAGAGTGGAGCTACTATGGCCAAGGTAACTTTTCAGATTTTTATTTTTTGTCAAGGTTGCAACATATAACATCAATAAATCATCCCAATCATCACATATCTGACATCTAATCTGGAAGTTTTTTTTTTCTCTTTCTAAATCTGCACTTCACGTCAAAGGAGCGTTTTAACGTCTTTCAGCTCAGGATTTTGGTTTACCAGCCTGCAACTCAAATAATTTCATTCACTTTCATTGCACTTGTCAGATTATTTTTCTAGTGATAGCAGTCCATTTTTGTAGGCCAGAAAATATTGAAAATTAACAAAAGCATGAACCTAGTGGCATATTTAGCCAGACAATACATAGCTACAGTAGTTGGCAAACATTTTAAGCTTACTAAAGCCAGATGTAGAGCTCAAAGTGTATGTATACATTTTCAGCTTGCCATGTAAACTTCATAGGAAATAGTATGTCAGGAAGATGTTGTTACAGCTCATGTCTGCTGCCCCCAAGTGGCCATTAAGAGTTATTGTAGGTTTCAGAGCAGAAAAGGAGATCTTACCCGAATATCACAAAGATAGAGGGAGCTGAGTGAAAAATATTTGTTAGCAAAATGCTTTATTAGAAATGATGATTAACTTTCTGGCACATTGGACAGCTATTTATCTCAATTATCCTGATTCAGCAGGGTGTCTCAGAGTTCCACTTAACACTTTCCCTCTTTCTCTCTCTGTATTATTTCCTGTCTGAGATCATCAATGCCTTTTTCTACCTCCTCTTATCCTGCCAGAAATAGATGACATATTGTTGAATGAGCCAAAAGTCTAGTGGCCTTTTAAAAGTAAAGGAGTACTTTTAAGTCTAGAGAACATACAAACGAGTAAATGGTTGTATCATACGCTTGTTTGTGCTTAGTACATTACATCTTACGAAAAGCAAACAGAACATCAATTGATCTTTGAATCATTTTTTATTATTCAATATATCAAAGAAAATTAATACACAGCAAAATTGTGCTGAGGGCAGGCAGTGGCATCCAATTAAACAAATGGGCTCAAAGGGGAAAGTTGGAGTTCTAAGACAGAGTTCAGAAGGGTGGCACAACTTACTCTTTATTTATTTTCTTGTGAATTTTATGGGTGGAGCTTCAGTTTTATTTTTTCCAAGTTTTCAGACAGTAAAGGACTCTCATGCGCGTAAGTATTAAGTCGGACAACAACAGCAGTATTTCTGGAACCAGCCAAACGTATTCTGGACGCAAGACCAGAGACCGCAAGCTTTAGGAAGAGGAGTGTGTATCAGAGCAGGAATGTGAATGTTGATCTTGGTACAGAAGGTTCAGGAACAGTTGTATTTTTGTAGCCTGATACCAACGTCAGGATTGTCCCGGACCATTTAGGACCCTGGTGGAGTTTCAATGCTTCTTCTTGCTGGACTTCTCTATCATGGTCTCCACCACCATGGAAGTCTCCTCATAACCTTTCATTTTGCGCCCGTTGGAGAACTTCTCCACAGACTCCACCACCTCCACCTTCTCATAGCTCATGGCATCAGGGGTGTAGCTACTAGAACTGGTGCTGGTGCTGGTGCTTGAACTGGAGCTGGAGCTGGTACTGGCACCTCTAGGCGCAGGCTTTGGGGTTGGCCCACTTGGGCCATTGTCGTCCTTGTTTTTCTTGGGTTGATTAGCAGCCGGGGTGGGATCTTTGGGGGTGGAGCCTGGGCCAGAGGGTCGAGGGACTGGGCTTGGATCTTTGGGGTGAGGTTCAGGATCTGCATTCTTGTGCTTCCCTTTACCTCCATTGTCTTTACCCTTTCCTCCCTTATTATCATCCTTTCCTTCTCCGCCCTTAGAAGGATCGGTGGGGGTAAGGGGCCTTGGGTCTACAATTGGCTGTGGAGGAGGTGTGGGAGAAGGAGTTCTGTGTCCAAAAGGGTCGTATGGAGGAATCATTCCATCTATGATTGTGACAATGACATGTCCGGCCGATGGCGTGGAAGTGTAGAAGCAGGGATCTGGGTAGCTGCCGTCACCGGTGACAAGAACGTAACGACCCTTGGTGTAGAAGTCAGCGATTGGCTCTGGCTTCTTGTACTTCCTCATTCTGTCTCTGACGATATTACAAAGAGTGTCGAAGGCCTTGCTGATCTGAGCTCCATCTGGGACGTCCTGTGGAGAAACCCCGGTGAGAACTGGTCTGTACTCGGTTCTCGTCACCTTCTCCTCCTGCACCTCCTCAGATGGGATCCCCTTTGTTTCTTCATCCAGAGCCTCTCCAGATGTTACCCCATTCTTTTCCTCCTGGCCGCTGTCAATCACATCTTTTGGGGACAGCTCTTTCTTCTTAAAGACCTTCTTGGCCAGAATCTTCTGGCGGGGCTTGATGCTTGTGATATCTTGAATTGCCAGGGTGATATCTGCACAAACATAATGTCATGAGTCAACGAGCTAAAACTTAAGAATAAACATAACAGGAATATACACCAAAACCCAAATGGTATGCGATGCTAAGACAAAAACAACATCACAAGATATCACAGAGAGTGCCAATACTTGTCTCATTTGCAACTGACTGCACCCAAAGTAATTTCTCAATTTGATGTACTTATAGTGACCTTACCTCTCCCCCTGCTGGATGCAGTGGGTGTGTGAGTGTAGCGGTAATTAGTCGTGAGCAGTGTTATGGGAGTGCCAATTATCGCTGAATTCAACCTGCAGGGAAGAAAGCAGTGAAATGTCAAACATCCAACTGAGCAGCTTTGCTATGCGAGAAGTCTGGGAGAGAAGTCTTTAAAAAAAAAAATTAAAAGACAAGAAAGCAACACGTAACATTAAACAGTGAAAACATAAATCTTACCTGACAGAAAAAAACAACATCACTTTGCTGGTTTTGCAAGTGCAATAGAGATACATTTGTTGTCACATAACACCATCTGCTGGATGGTACTGGATTCTACAGTATATAAACTTTTTATGTCCATAAAGGGCACCTTATCGCTGGCTAACAGTTACTGTACTAAATCAATTTAAATAATATGGAGGTAATGTGTTTATAATGAAACTTTACCATACCATTTTTGTAAGAAAATATTGACATTCTTAAGAGCAAATTGATTGAAATGTTACTGTTTATAACTGCTTTTAAGGAGGTTCAATGATGACCCTCTTGTACCCCTTTTGTAAACAGTAAAGGCCGTTAAACATCATTTATAGCACCATGTCAGAAGATAAACAAAACACAAATAAGAAAAATAATATTTGTAGAGCATTTAAAGACATTTGGGTGGCTGGTCAAATATTTTACATGGTTACATTTTCACTAACGACCCCTCAATAACATGCCTATAAGCCCCAGTAAGTTTTTCCTCAGCTTTATAGGCCATGCATGCTACACATACAAGGGATTTGACTTTGTTGAACTGATCTCTGTATATGTATAAGAAAACTATAACATTACATATTAACAATAAACACAAAATCAGCAAAGCCTAATAGGTACAAGACTAAATAAGACAACAGTGCAGTGGTAGGTAGTGCAAAAATGCTGCGATAAAAATTTAAAGTGTGCATAAATTATATATGATGTTGATATCAGATGAGGAGGATAATAATCTCCAGGGCAGATTTTACCTCTGAAGTTGCAGCTTTGCATTGTGTCCTTTTTTTCTACTCTTTAAGTCATTAATCCTAACAGTAGTTGTGTTTTATGTACTGCTTGTTCTTTAATGACTGGGGGTCAAAATTACAGTTTCTAAGCAATCATTTCAGCCTTCAGAGGAGCACTGTGTTCCATACTGTTCTCTTACACCGAATCTGTTTATCTTAACCTCAGTCAGGCTTTGTATGCCCAGCTATGTCAGCGCATCTTTATGTGTAACTACACAGAGGCAACCTACCTGTTATCTTCGTTCTCGATGATCCTCTTGTACCTCTCCAGCTCATTCTCAAGAGATGTCTGGTACATTGCCAGGTGACGGCATTCACTGGTGAACTTCTCGAGTGACCTCTCAGCTTCCTCGATCTCCTTACGCAGAGATTCAATCTTCTCATTGTACATCTGGATCTCATCGTCGTAACTCTCCTGTGTACCTTTGATGGCTTGCTCCAACATTGTGGTCTGAAGGAGGGTATGGACAGACAGGAAATAATTATTAGGAATTTGTGGTAAAATTAAATACAAACACCCATAGGGATTTAACAGTTCAATGTATGTATGATACATAACATGGTCTCAGTACGTATTACTCATGACAGTGAAAGGTAAAAAGAAGTGGGCAAGGCTGACATCTAATGGTTCTTTTGCAGCATCTACCATTTTGAAAATCTGAAGCTGCAACATAAAGGCCAATTGAATTCCATGCTCTGTCAGATTATATAAATATTAATTAATACATAAAAACAAAGTGCAATGACCAGTGGCGATTCTAGAGTCTGTGGGGGCCCTCCAACCAGCGTTCGGCAGAGTGAGTGCTCCCTTCAGGAGGTTTGCTATTGTCTTTGCAAAATGTGCACATTTTTAAACGCTGCCTGGGGCCCCGAGCAGTTGTCTGCCTTGCCTGATGACAAGCAGCACCTCTGGCAATGACAAAAGCAAACATTTCTCTCCCTTGGAGGGATATTCTTAAAAACAAAACAAAAACATGCAAGCCTTAAATGTAGAGACATTTTTATCACCTGACACAGAAAATGATTGATGGATATTTGACTGAATAAAAATATAGGCGTAAGAATATGATTAAATAATAACAATTTCCTTATTTTGAATTTTAATCATGGTATCATTATTTTTTGTCTAAGTGAGTCTCTGTAAAAAAAAACTAAACATTTTTTACAGGATCCAGCCATGTGAATATATATATTTTTTCTTTATGATATTTGATAGTCAATTAATTATATATTTTTGTTTGGACAGTTTTTCTGAGAAAAAGGGCAATGAGAAAACATTACATGTGCATTGGGTTCCATGCAGAAATACTCTTTTTTAGTGAATTTCACAACATAAGTATGAGATGGTCTTAGAGGTGTTGTGAGGTGGAAATCCATGTAGCCTTAGGTAAATATTAGCTTTGGGGTTAAAGAGAGAAACATTGTCTGAAATGGCACAAGGTCTCCTTCTATCATCATTCATGTCACCCACCTCTGTCTGGAGGCGTTGTTTCTGAGCCTGCAGCTGACAGAGGGCGCTCTTGAACTCCTCGAGCTGACTCTTTAGCCCCGGCACTTTCCTCTGGGCCAGCAACTTCTCCTGCTCCTGTAAACATCAAGCAGAAACCAATAAGAACATGCAGAGGACCACAGTTTATACTTGAAAGCATGGCAATGACATACACTCACTCACAGCAACAATGAAACATTGATCTCAAGCCCCGTCAAGATCTTAGCACGTTTAAGAGCACAACATGACTTTTTACTGATTATCCACTTCTTTATATGAACTCATGAAGTGAAGTGTGCCCTACTCAGAAACATAATCACTCACATAATGTAGAGGAATATGAAGTGGCATGAATATGTGTGGTACTCCTGAGTTTCAAACATATCTTTAGTTCATAATTTATCAAATATTTTTGGACGCAGAGGCGTGTCTTAAAATTAACATCTTCAATTTGAACTTTTTAATGTTAAGGTCCAAACATGGCCCCTCTATTCTCAATTCAGTGTTTTACAGTAATCATTACTGCTTCCAAAAGTCTAAACTGTATATCTCAAGCTATAAGACTGCTATATCATGCTATTATCTATGTGCATCCATTCTTCGAGGCTTGTCTTTCATTATGTGTCCTCACATGCTCAAACAGACGCTACATGTGTCTGCAGGATGGATGATGGTCTTTCACACGTGCACACACACATGTTAAACGTAAAGCACGGACACCTGCAGGTGCAGGAAACTATATTGACACAATTTCCTGCAATTTCCTCCATTTTGCAATGGAAGGGAAAATCAAATACTGGTGATATGTTGTACAACTGTAATCCAGGTTATAAATTCATTAATGTATTCACTGTCTCTTAAATCATGATCATTTAAAATCCTCCATAATCATGAAAGGCAGAATGTGCAACTTTTTGTGACAGGATATAATCTGGAGAATGGGAGAAGGAGCGGGTGGTGATTTTTATTCCCAGTGATAGGTACACAACCGCATAGACTGTTTGCACGCAACTGTTGCAATCTCTGTACACGTAAACTTTCAGGAGATGGATACAAACAGCATGGATACATGGATGAAAACAGCTTTAGAAAACCGCTAATGTTAGCATTCAACCGCTTTCTGGCTTCCATTTCTTAAGCAAGTAAGCTAGCCTTACATAAACTAGAAATGTGTGCATTGTCTACTGTATTATGTAACACTACCAAATGTTAACAGGCTTTAAGATTGAATGAACTTCCTAGCTAACTAGTTAAATAGAAAATGCTTCAGGAAAGTTGCAAACACAAGAAGAAAATTATAAATTTCTAGCTAACATAATGCTAGCCAGGAAGTTGTGCATTTTATTTATTATTGTTTAACACTTCCACTGGTATTACTATTTATGTTTCAGCCAGTTCCCTACCAATTTGTATATAAGCCAGTACATTTATGGAAGCTGACTTCGGATGGCGTCTTATCGTATTAAAAAGGGGATCAATAGGTCAGCTTGAATTTTGTTGCCTGTTGATTTTTACAACTTAAAACCTGGACTACAGCAGGATGACATTATAACACAGTTTAAATGGCAGCGCTGTGAACATTGTCAATTGGATACAGAGGCCAGCAACCTCATCATTTAGAGACATGAAGGAGCATTATCTCCCTCCCCCCACACACACACACACACACACACACACACACACACTTGGTGTTAACATTAGTGACCTTACCTCGGAGATGCCCACTGACACGTTTGGAGCCAGAGGAAGTGTCTGGTTGATTTGCTTCAAAATGTTTACATAGGTTTGGATCTCTGCAAGGTTCTGGAAAGAAAGAGCAGACATTAAATATGCAACACAGCAAAGGCAAGAACATCCCTAAGCAATTGCATTTTTTTTTACCTATGCTACCTATAATGCATTTCTTATTGAGGTTTGGTAGAGAGAATAAAAGTATCAAATTAAAGCGTTTCATTCTGTGCTCATCTTCTTTTTCATAGCGAAGAGTTTTTTTTTTCCTAAATCCATTTGTACAAGCATGATCTCAGACTTTGCAATAAAGTGGAGATATATGTCCTCTCTCTGGGGGGATACTTCAAAGCTCAGGTTCAAAAGACCATGAGTTCATATGCATCCTATTCTTCCCCCCCACATAATACAGAAACAGCAGTGCCTTTTGATATGCTATCTCAATATTGTAGAGTCATGCATATATTCATCACCAAAAGCAGTATTGGGTGGAAAATAAAAAAGGGAGAAATTGTTCAGGCAATGGGAAGTGCACTTGATGTATGACGTTACTATCCCGTTGTTTAGTCCCTGCATTTAAGTGCACATTGTGTTGCACCTTTAAGCAATTTCTGCTGCACAGAGGGTAATATTTCAGCTTTTGCTTTTCACTCTCCGCTCGCCTGTTATATGCGAGCACCTGGGAAGAAACGTGTTACATTTTCCCTGCAATCCTTTACAAACTCACATCACAGTGGGGATATTGCTAAAGCCCTCAGTACATCATAACAAATCCTTCGAGGCACATTTGTCAAGGGTTGGTGCCCTATCATTGGAGTAGTAGTGATGGACATAAGAAAGCAGGAGTAAGAAAAAAGAAAAAAGGTCCCTACTTAATATGATACATTTATGAACTGACTTCAGCAATAGCAGAGAATTATTAAGGCTATTTCAAGCTCATGTTGACCTAGTTCACAAAACCCATCAACAAGGAGAACGATAATGTGATCAATTATGCAGTTTCTCACTGTCTGTACTAGCGTCTCTAGAATCAATTTGTATTGATTTGTATTCAAAGACCAAGCTCACAACACTCTTACTTAAGGCCGTTGACTTTGTTTTATTCATGTATTTAACACTACATTTTCCCAGAAAAGATCAGGGGGGGTCCTTAGAGCCAGAGGACATATGAATGATCAGGGGGAAGTTACTGAAGCTAGCAAGGCTATCATGATAGCTTTGATTTAAAATGATCCATTTTGAGTTTAGAGGTTAAATATCCATTATACCTACTCTCTCGACAATCAATACTTTCTGTATAAAGGAGGCTCTGTAGCAAGACATGTTATGAATGGTTATCTTGATGGAAATCCTCATTGACTTTTAGGCTTCCTATCCACAATCATATTGCTGATTATGTTTTCTTTAGAAGCCTTGAGTTGTTGGAGAACTTTTTTCTTGAGAAAACAGCCAGTTTCCGGTCAGTAAACTTTCAGGTCAGTTAGATTTGATCATATATAATCAACGTCACGGCACTGACCTTCTTGTGTCGATCTCTGGTTGAGCTAATGTCATCTTGCAGGAACTGTGAGTTGATCTGGTACTCCAGGTTTCTGAGCAGAGAGCTGTCAGCCTCCTGGAGGAGAGGAGAGGAGAAGGAGAAGGAGAGGAGAGGAGAGGAGAGGAGAGGAGAGGAGAAGGAGAAGGAGAGGAGAGGAGAGGAGAGAGAGAGAGGAGAGGAGAGGAGAGGAGAGGAGAGGAGAGGAGAGGAGAGGAGAGGAGAGGAGAGGAGAGGAGAGGAGAGGAGAACACAACAGAGAACCCAGTAGAAAACACAGGTAGAAGGACAGCGTGAATTGTATTGAATATCACAAAGCATACTGCAGTCAATGCTGTCGATTTATATGATGTGATAAAACTCTTCATTGTCCCTCAGCGCCAATCTGAACTCAATAAGGTTATCAGGTGTTTGTTAAAAATGAATTGTATCGGATCTTTTTTTCCACATACTTGAGTTTTTCCATGTCTCAGATTTTCCATATGTGTGTGTGCATTTCACCAAGCTGTACCTTGTTTAGCTGCTCCAGTGTTCCCCGTAGCTGTTCTTGGAAATCACATTCATTTCTGTATCTGGAACATAAAACATTTTGATTATGGGCTCATTCAAGAAGAAGTGCAACCTGACATATTCACATTAACCTCTGCTGTGTTCTCACAGCTCTGTGTTTATAATGTATTGGATCTGTCAACTAAAATCTATACATGGTGTAAAATAAAACTCCAGCTCTCTTTACTTGTTGATTTAATCAGAGGTGGTCGATATTCTACTGGTCTTTAATATAGTTTGGCCTGCAGACTGCTGATAATCATCCAGTGTTTGTGGAGTTTGTAGATAGGTTCAACTTCATTAACAAAGTAAACCTTTTTCTAAATCTCTAAAATGTCCATGATAATAAACAAAGTTGCCATCTTTTTATATTGTTACAGCATTATCTCTGAATTATCCGCACCAACAAAAAAAACTCATTATGGAAGGAAATGTTACAGTTTAATTGTATAGGTTTCCCAAAGCTGTTGACAATTACATGAGCATTATTAATAAAAAACCTTTTTTTACTTTTACTTTTACTTTTTTTTTTAGCTTTTTACCTTGACGCTCTGTAGGGAACGACAAGCAGGAAAGGACCCAGATAGAACCCGGACTGTCCGCTTGGAGGACTATAGCCTCCTAAATGGGGAGCGACCTAACCGCTAGGCCATCTGCGCCCAAATAAAGAACTATTTTTCAAAGATTTTATAATTTTGTGGGAGTTTGGGGATTTCTTTTTTCTCTGATTTGGGACCAAGTAACTTAAAATGTACATGTATTGACTATATTTTATGTCTTATTTTATCATGTTGAAAAACTGTCAACAAAATATAACAGTATTCATAAATGTTTTTTTACAGTTTGCATCCCATTCTTGTATGGTTGTCTATTAATTTACAATTCCTCTATTATCTTTTGTTAGTAGGTTCTTTGTTAAAAAAAAAACACATCTCCAATTTTTTATTGGCGTTAAAGTTCTTTGCCGTGTTCACTTGATCAATTATTCTAAAAACTGACAACATTTCTTTACAACACCAATCACTCTGAAGAAGACAATTGACCTTTGACACACAGATAAGACCATCCACTGCCCACTCTCTTACTTGCTGGTGAATTCGTCCAGCATGCGGCATGCATCTTTCAGCTCTCTCTCCAGCTTGCCGTGCTCAGACAACAGCTCTCTAATTCGCTGTCTGTTGACTTCAATCTGCTCTGTGAAGGCCTCCTCAAGCCCACTGGCCTCTTCCATCCGCTGCAAAGTCTCAAGCTGCTTGCGGAACACGGCGTTGCGTTGCTCCAGGACTCGGGCCCTGTTGATGTAGCGTGCAAAGCGGCTGTTGAGCTCCTGAAGGCTCTCCCATCCCTGGATGGCTGAGATGCCTGCAGAGGTTTCAGAGTCCTCTGTTTCCTCCTCAAAGACATCTGAGCGCTCATACTTTTCCTTGCGCACCTCGCGTGTGTAGCTGGTCTTGAACATTGCGGTACGCTTCCCTCCTCTGGGTTGGTGGTATCCCCTGGAGTGCTCGGTCCCTGCAGCACCTTTAATGTGTGAAAACTTGGGTGCTCACCCTTGGCTGTCTCATGCTAGACTAAACTCTGCACAGCACTGGCCGCTGGCGAAATAGCCCCCAAAACCTCCCCCTGGACGTGGCCGCACACGCTGCGAACCTGGGGCCTTCCACGGTTTATTGTTGCCTTTGTGTCAGAGATTAGAACAGCCCTGCTGTTGATGACAAAGCAGAACCTCCCAAACAAACAAGCAGTTAGCCTGCGAAAGCACTGGGTGGTCACACACCATTATTTTGGTTCTTAGTCAGCTGCTTTCTAGATCCCTGTTTGATATTGTAAATTGGCACCGCAGGACAGTGGGGAAATTTCCTGCAGGGTCATTTATGGACTGTGGAGAACGATCACTGTCAGAAATGACTGAGTGTTGATGCACTGCTGTGGAGAAAAATGTTGTTAGTCTACAGGTGGGTACTAGGTATATTTCAGTTCATGATCAAAAGCAATAGGCAACACAAAAGAACAAAATAGAGAAACTGATTTTTTGATATGCAATCAGGCCCAAATGGAAAACTTTGACACACAATCAAATAATACAGCGCCTGTCTGGCTCTTGTTTTGGCATTGTATTAGATTTATGAACCAGTAAGAAAACACTGAACGAGTATCAAACATCAAACAAGAGGAACAGAGCCGAGAAAGCTGTGGTCTGCAAGTTTCATTATAACTTAAACACGTGATGTTGTTTCCTTGATTGAAAACAAGACAAACAGGAGAGTCCATTCAAATCAAAAGAAGTGGCAATGGTTATGTTTTGCTCGGAAGACGTCTCCGAAGTTAAAATATCTCAGCATTTCATGTTTTAATCAGTGAGAAACCTTTACTGGTACATTAAGTCGACATCTCATTCTATCTTTATTTCCCTTTTGCATTTCTATTTCTACTCTCGAATTGACAAAAACATTAAGGGACGATGAGCGTAAAAGAGAGTAATAGAGGAATGAGGAAGAGAGCCTCTGCCTCAGCCTGCGCTCTGCATACTGATGAAAGTTCAGTCATGCCCCTCTGGACAGATCCAGCAAGTTGTCTGTAAAACAGCTGAGTGAAAAACATGTCATGGCTTTTCATCAGCATATTTTGGCCTCAGCAAAGCTGGGGACCCCATAGCTCAACAGACTGGTAGTTAAGCTGCTGTAATAAAAAATAGACCACCAAAAAAAAACTCTGATGCACATTTAAAAAAAAACAACAACAACAGTGGACCGTCACTAATTACATATAATATGTAAAAATGTGATTTTTTTCAGGATTCTGTACCACTTTTGTCTGACAACGTCTAAGATAAAAATGTCTCATACCCTTTTTGTTCCATAAAGCCATTTATCTAAAAAAAAAAATTTAAGTGTGAATTTCTTATAAAGGTAATATAAATTATTCTGTTAATGCTTGAAAAAAAATTGTTTACATATTAAGTAAAAGCTAGAAATCAACAAGCAACCTTAAAAATGAAGCCAAAGCAGAATGGCAAACAAAACAACTGCAGTTCCTCGATTGTCCACTTGAGGCTGGCTCCAAACACCAACAAACCCCTACCAGGTCCCATATCAAAACATCTTTTTTTTTTTTTTTTTAACCGTAAAAATAAACATGGTTACTAGCTGGTCAAATAAACATAAAAATAAACACCTAAGGTTTTGGTCTTTCGCTATCATTTCTCTATTCATGACAGGAGGTGAATTTTTAAATAACTCTCCTGTTAAGCCATAAAGTTATGGGAAATTGCTGGTTGCTTGCTCTCTGCTGGACCCAACACAGCCAATTCAATTATTTTAAAGTATGTGGTATGTGCCACAAACCACATGGGCGAACTCTTCTAGCTTCTTGTGTCATCAACTTCCACATAGAGAAACTCATTCTGTGAGAAAACAACAATAAGCTAGCTTTTTCAACAGCTAATTAATTAGACACAGTGGTTGACTGCTAAGCTTTGTTAACCTAGTGTTTGCATCGTCTCCACTCTTTCCTCCTGTACTGTTCCCGCTTACTTCATGTTAACAGATGGGACACTATAAAATCCAAATACACGTCAAATAATGTTTTTTCCAAACATTGTTTGTCCTATTATCGTTAGTTCCTGTCATGAAAATGTATCTCCATAAAATATTTTTTTTCTGAGAAGATGAATTTTTATTAATTTAATGCTATAGAAAGAGAATATTACTCCACGATTAACAGCTCTGTTGAGAAATCCTGTTCCTTTATTGTTTTGTATCAGAGCAGAGGAGCAATCTTTCAATGAAGATTCTTCCTGATTGGCAGACTCTGACTGACATCACCAGCTTATACGGCTTTCTTTTTTTGTTCAACGAGAGGAGGTGAAGCGTGTCATCCATCTTTATATGCAGTCGATGGGTGATGTTTTTGTTGTTACATGGTGCCACAAAAAGATCACCAAAGTACCAAGACAACGGCAAAATAATTTTCCCTCAAATTAATGAGCGATGGCTCTAAAGAACATCCTCCTCTGAGCCTGTGACTCTCCAGGTGAAGACAGGGAATGATCTCTTGACCTTCATTTCCACATAACATTTCAGCAACATAAGCACACTGACTCATTGTCCCACTATTGATTGTCGAATTCAATCACATTTTGTTCCCCTTATTGAGACTGTTATAGACCATATCAAATATATTTGAGTGTATTTATTGTTGATAACTGCCTTCTTTCCGTTCTACCACAAAACTTAATCCTAGGACTTTGGTGAAGTCAGTTTTATGGCTGTTTACTTTGACATAACAGACATCAGGAATACATTTCATTGACATTTAAGGTCACCTCTGACATGCAGCCCTGTGTCCTTTAGGAGCAAGTAAATCCAGCTGGATGTTTGATGTGTTGCTGCCATACAATCAGCATTCAAGCAGAGAAAGAAGGAATGAACACGGGTGGAAAAAAAGAAGAGGAAACAAGAGACACAAAAGTGAACACCTGGTGGAAGAGCAGTAACTATTAATGCAAAAATGTATCTTAAAAGAGCACCACCCTCAGGATGAAAGACATTTGAACATAACAGAATGCCTTTGTGATACAATGAACGCCCATAAATAAACAAAAATATTTAAATGGATTATTTTCTACTGCTTCTTTACTCTCCATAACATTGTCACCAATAAACCATATAGCTATCTGTCCACCCTTATGCAGGTGCCATAGATTAAAGGTCTTGTTTTGAGCATATTGTTGATGGCCGAGTGAGAGAAAGCCAGTCTCTAACTGCCCTCTTCATATTCATCGGTTACGAGTGGCAGTAAATTTTTAGGCCTTGGTGAGATTAGAAAGCTGTCCAGAGTTGGAAATGAACATCTAGTGTTTATCCCCTGGTCCTGCCTCCTGCGCTACAGTGACAGGTCCGAGCGTGTATATTTAGAGGGCGATAAAAAAATAATAGGGAACATGCAAAGTCACATCTCTCATCCCTTCTGAGCTAAGGGAGCAGATATGTTCAAGATTCACTGGTGGACTAAGTGGGTCTTGAACATTTATTTGTTAGGATCCACATTAGCCGTACCTGAGAGCTCAGCAATTCTTCCTGGGCTCCACATTGTACGACGACTTTTTCTGTGCTGGTGCCCCACCACATAGAGCAGGTGCCCTTTTTTTAAAATTATTTTCACCCCCTGCCCTTCAAACTTCCCGAGTCCGCCAGTCGTTCAAGTTCTAAAAGAGACAGCAAGTTCTCTCTCATCCTGGGTCCATTATAGGTCAATTTGTGTCTCTTAGAATCTGTTACTATATTCAAACTGCACTTTTGATGATCCTTTTATTACATTCAAACTGCATCGACTCTATCTGCCCTTTGCACTCACTGCAGTGCGAGACAACACAAAAAAGCCATTTGGCAGCTATTGACACATGATTGTCTGAGGCAAAGGAAAGCACTGCAGCACAAGCCTTCCATCACAATAAGGAATTGATCCTAAAAAGTAATCAGTGCTGCTGTCTGTGTGGGTTTATCTGCTGTTCAGGATGGTTGATCACAGAGATTTGGTGCTGACAGCTGCCTACAGCTTTGTCTTTACATTGGACCCTGGCTAAAAACGTGCACACCCAGTCTTGCAAATCACTGATTTCTTGATTTACGTGAAAGATAAGGCAGGAAATAACCTAGTGAATCACATGAAAAGCTTGTTTGTAATCAGAGATGTATTTTCCTGAACATCTCTGACATTGATATCTCCCCCAAAGCCACTTTGTAATCCATGTAAATGACAGCAATTGTTCCGTGTCAATGACAGCAATCGTTGTGAATATCAAACAGTCCCCCCCCCCACCACCCTTAAACCTGCACCTACAGAAAAACACTTGTTACGGCACCAGAAATCAAGGGTTATTTCTTTATACCTTCTTAAGTGAGGGTTTTACATTTCCAACCCTGGAAGTGGTGATGAAGTGGTAATAATCAATTTTGAAATATGTAGGTATGTATGTAATATATGTGCATTTTAATATCCACATTACATGAGGTCTCAGTTGAGGCTGTCGAAAGAAACCAAACCCAAGAAACTGTGACTGAAACAACTATCATATAAGATTGTCATTCACCACCTTTCAGGCAACACAACATTGAAGGTCTAAAACTACAATTGATATGTTCAATTACAAATAATCATTCAACAAAGAATTATTTAAAAAAAATCTCTATTGTCTAAATGTCTAAAGTGTTTATATTTTTAAAAGTAGCGAGTTCAAATGTTTGGAAGTTATGGGATTCCAGCTGATTTTAGACCTGCCAAAAAATTGAATAAAATTCAACTTATTGCAAAAAATAAATCAACTCTCCCAGCAGTTTTTCAGTATTTACCCCAAGAAACTGTCAATGATGACAACACAAATGAGTTTTGGATGAGAAAGTTAGTTTTTTTTATCTGCTTTTGATACATGCCTGCAGAGAAGAAGTTTATTATCTCCCTGGGTTTCTCTTTTTAATATCCCTTTTCCTCCAGATACGG